GGACAGCCTATAATACTGGATGAGCAAAAATGTGTTCAGTTTTGAATCTGCTACAAGTGTATTAAACATCTACAATAAATTTAGGATTTTTACTCTAACACTGACTTCACATTATCAGCAACTTGGTGAAGAAGTCTCTGACATTATGTAGTGGTATGTTTCGATCTCCTGTTGCATACATTTAAATATAGATATTTATAATCACCCTATAATGTTCAGGTGTGGTCAGCTCTATCAGATAATATTGGAAAAAACTGTTTCTTGTTGATCTTTTTGTGCAGTGTGATCGCGTGGTAAGGCCTGCTTATTCACCTGTGACACAGCATAACGGGCAGGGCTGCACACAGCGAGAGTGCTGCCCCACACATGTCAAGGTCAAACCATATGCCCTCAGAGGGTCCACTTGTGGTTCAGGAAGCTAAGAAGGAGTGGATGTAAAGGCCCCTCTTGGAATAATCCTTAAAAATCAAAAGTCAACTTTTCCAGGCAGTACCAAAACAAAACAAGGTGTGTAATTTGAAGCCAAGTAACAAATACATGCTTGTATGTGAATACAGCACAGGATACCAAGACAGTCAACCCAGTTAATGTATATAAAATTGGTTTTCTTCCACTAAAAGCTGGTAGAGGACAGTCACGTAGGATAATCTTACTTGGAATCTCTCTCTTGTCATGTCAATTCATTATCATTAAACGGTTCATTAAAGTTTGTATAATTCAAAAACTCTCAGGGAAAACTGTGTACATTTTAAATACTATGGATAATTGAATTATTGTATCATTAAAGTCAGTATTGGACATATTAACCACCTGTAATATCTTTATGGCACAAAACGGCATGAGCTGTAGGTTTATGGACATGAAGCAAATAATTAGACTTATCAAATGTGCTAAAACACACTGTCCACGCCAAAGTAGAAATGTGAAGCACCGCTGCCTCGGTGGAATGTAGTGAAAGGCTGAGACTAGTGTGAACTGCACCAACAACATTCTCAAACATTTTATGGTTGTCATTTTGTGCAGAGAACGTAGTGAATAGCACTGCCACAATTTAACTTTACTAGTCCATCAGACAAAGCATAGCTCAATCTAAGAACTACCTCTTTTTCACACCGTGAACCGGGACTGAATCCTTTTTGTCTCCTTATAATATAGTAAACTCAAGAAATTGTGGAGGATAGAAGAGTAGGAAAGGATGCTGTAAAGCTGCTAGTAAGTGGCTGATGGATTTACATTCCTGACTTGTGTGTGCAATTTGGAAGTAGTTCTAACATATTTTCTTATCCTTTTTAGGATTTTACTATAGAAACAAGTCCTGCTTTTCTTTTTATGATCAATATTTTTATACAGTGGATAACAAATAACTATGTGTAATGTGAAAGGTGTCGGTCATAGTGATAATCCCGCAGGTAATTATCACTCGACTTTGCATTTCGCCTCAGCTCTTCGAAGCACCTTGCAGTGTCATTTTCAATTTTCAATTTAAATTTGCTTTTATTGCCATGAACGCTTTTTGTTTTTGTTTTTGGACCAGCATTCATGCAGCTGCTGCTGTTTTTAGCAAAAAGCTTGGATAAACTCCCCATATGCTGCCTCTCCAGCACCAAAGACCAAATAAAGACAACGACAAACGGAGCACAGCTTTTAGCTGCAAAAGAGCTAGACATTCCCCTCAGGAGTTAGCAGAAATCAAGCAAAACTAAAACAAGAGTGAAAATTACATTTGTCAGGCAGCCTGAGAAACAACTCTGAATGAATGCTAATGTTGCTCTGTATATCTGCTGGATGTGTAACTAGGCAACTGTTTGCTAACAAGTACATCATATCAACCTTATAAGATGATAATGTGTCAGTGTTGTTTTACAACAAAGATCTGAGGCACATCATGTCACTGCTACATTCCCATTTTCATTCCAGCCATGACCTTTGTGATTCTGCTTTCTCCGTCAATGTTTCTTGTCACTTACTACTGTCTAATACAGGCAAAAATGATCAAATCATGTGGCTGTCAGACCAGAAACCATGTCAAAACAATCACCACCATCACTGTAACTCAAATGAGAAGACGTTAGAGTCTGTCCAGGAGGCCTGCTACACACAGACACACTATTGTTGATGAGCTCAAGCCCAGCTCACACGCTGCATACCAGATTCAATCCACAACCTATCTCAGAATGCTGCACCTCCTGGTAATCTTGGCAAACCCTTGATCTATGTAAACACCTGGCTGCTATGTTATCACTGCAGAATAAATAGTCTTACAAAGGAGTATATTACACTGTTTACTTATAATGGTGTGAAAACAGACCATCACATAACACTGGGTGTTTTACTCTTACCGAACAGAATTACGAATTACTCTGATAAAGAAAACAAGTTGTGGTTTACTCTATGAAGTGTTGTTTTTCTAACACAGCAGCCATGCCGCCATCTGCATGTAGCATACAGGGTCCAGAGGATTAGGAGTTACCTTTTTATATTTACGTACATAATTAGTAAAACTTTGCACATGATATGTGTTCAGTAACTGCTGTGTTTTAGCAGCTGGCACCAGAGAGTACCAAAAATGAATTTTGTTTAAATGTAAAAATTAGTAGGCTACTTGTAGGGCAGTTTCAAAAAAATAGTCAAACAAACTCATCTGTAATCAGTAACTGCATTTATATGATTGCTGTCTTTGTTAAATTTTTAACTTTCAATGCTGAGGTCATAACTTTAAACTATGAACTGAAGGAGGACTTGTTAACACTTACTGGGTATTGATTCAGCCGGTGTAACAGTGATTGATTCAACAGTGTAATGAGAAACATTGTCATCGAAGCAGCATATTTTGTTCTTGGCCTGCACATTTAACGCAACTCTTCAGAAACCCTCCCTTTACTCTTCAAGCATGGATAAATGTTAAGTGTCTTGCTCAGGGACACAAAGGTGGATGTCTCACAGTGGGAATTGAACCCAGGTCTCCCACACCAAAGTCAAGCATCTTATCTATGTGGGAAGTATTCACTTATAAACACAATGAGCAACGGTGGTAAGCGCATCTTCTGTGCACAATCATGCAGTCACCTTTCTTCTCAGCACACGGTGTCATCATTTTGTGACTCATGACCAAGTGACACTGTGCTACAGTACGAATTCAGCCTCTTTGAATTCACTCCTCCCTTCCTGTTCAACCTCTGTTCCACCAACTTTCAGTTCTCTGTGCATTTTGCCATTTAAGAGTTTGTTTCATCAGCCTCCCTGAAAAGCTGTGATATGATACTAGGCTTTTCTGTATGTGCAGATATAGGAATCTACTGGACAGTAATATTTGATCACCTCCTAATGTTATCCCAGATATTATGATTATTTTGTTAGCATTTAGCAACCACGTTAGCCATAGGTGCAGTATCAAAACTTGTAGATGCTGAGTGCTAACAAATTACTATTTTATTCGAGTTAAAACTTAAGCTTTTACTGTCTGTCACTCAAGTATGGACATTCAAGCAAAACTTTTTAGAAAGAGAGAGTCTAGGGCAAAATACATTGTCTTGTTGTGTAGAAAAGCAGCTAGCTTAAAAGTGACGCCTTTCAAATTCCTGTTTGCTAGTTTTCAACTTGTGAATGCTGTTCCTCTTCCTCAGCGAAGTTTGTGTTTGGTATATATCATTATGTTCCAGTCCGTTCCCCATATTACATTTTAAATACATTTTTGGTTCCTTTTTTAGCTATAATTTGGCTTCTTTGTAACAATTTTATGTTTCTTTATAAACAAAAGAGATAATTGCCAGACCACTTACAGCCAAATAATTATGCAAACTGACATTCAGCATAACAATATGACTATCCTTTGCAGCAGTACTGGTGGGTCTGAGGTCTAAATGTACAGGGGAGCATACCTATGTCAGACCTATGCCTATATCTATTTGATTTTGAAGGTCTCTAAAAAAATGTTACATCTGAGGTAGGTGGTTCTGTGGATACAATTTTATTCAAAATTTTGTTTGGGCTGGGTTTGATCCACAAAACTACCCTGAATGTTTTATTGCTGCATGTTTGAGTGGTAAACTTTGACCTTTGGTGATTCCGTGACTCCAACCGTTTGATAAGTTCCCTCAAGTGTAGCCCTATTATATTGAGAGTAGTGCAGGGAAACAGAAAACCCCTTTGACCAGTCCCCACAATAGCCCATGTCATACTAAGCGAATACAGAGCAGCAGGCTGTTGCACCAGCTGTATGTAAGTTCAAACTTAGCCTAGTTATAACATAAATTATTACTAAGTTGTGATTTAGGCATTTACTAAAATAAAAGTGGTTGCATGGAGATATGTTACCACATAGCTCTAAGTAACAACTTAATAGTTACACACCCCCAGGGTAGGTGTAAGTCTGTTTTTCTGCTGGGGAACATCTTCAGGTTCCCAATATGTGCTATATAGAGCTAGGGAACATAGGACCCTGGGAGAGCACATTTGTAGAACTGAGGAACAAGCGGCCTTTTGTCATGTTCCCATTATGTGCCAAATAAATCTGGGGAACATAGGAATGACCCCTAATGTCCAGTACACAATGACCAACTGTTGGATTAAGATAGACCTATTGGCACACCTGTGGTGAAGGCTAAGCTAAAAAAAAAAAAAAAAAGGGGTAACTTATGCCCCTTTTATTAGAAAATAGTGTATAGCCTATACATTTCATAGTAGATATAACTATTAACACTTATTCAAGAAGTGCAGTAAATTTTTGCTTAGCTTTGTCCTATACTTTGACTGTCTACAGCACACGTTAGTTACTATGGCGCCGGCATCATTTAAAACGTTAGTGGCAACAGTTGGACATTTTGTGTTGGCCCCGCCGTGTCTCTGTACCTTCATTAGTGTACTAGGCTTGTAGCAGCCCCCCCCTCTAGTTTCCCTCTTACGCAAAAAGCAGCGGAAGCTTGTGATTTGCTCAGCTCAGCCCTCCCTCTTCGGGGGTAACTTATTACGGGAGTTTGCAGGCGGAGCCGGTTTCCCTGAGAGATAAATTGTGTGCGGTACAATTGGTGGAGTCGGGTACGAAACTGCCCTTTTGCTTTTCCTGTGAGGGACAGTTCAGTCTAAGCTAAAACCAGCCGAATCAAACCGTTAAACCAGAAAATCCCAAAAGGGGGGAATATTACCGGGGAGCTATTATGTCGGGAAATAAAGACAGTGACGGAGGATGGAGGACATTTGTGTGGAATTCCGAGAAGAAGGAGTTTCTAGGACGAACTGGGGGCAGCTGGTGTAAGTAACTTACTCATGTCCCTTCATTTTACTGAACAAGAGTGCTGCTGCTGACAGGCGACTTTACAATGTCAAATAAACAGTGATGTAGCACTGAGGGAGTGGAAACTGCCCGCGCTCGGTGGGTCTGTCTCCATTTCCTTAACGTTACTGTAACGTTACAGACAGCACCTGTTAGATCTCACTGGCTTTGACACGCTGCGTCGTGACTTCGCTTTTCAATGGAGGCTGTGTGTAGTGAAGTTGGTCTGTCGTCAGAATAAACTCACTGGTTAAAAAAAACAAAAAACAAACGGGCTTATCTGATATAGTTAACTTGCTAGACATGCTACAGGTCGTGTAGTCAAATATATGGCTAATCATTTAACAAAAAAAAAAAATCAATTGACTCAATTCGTTCCCTTGAATATTTGCTAATACTGTTAACTCATGATTTTTTTTGACACGATTCAAGTCTAAGTTGTTGGTGGTTATGTTTAATACACGGCATTTGGAAATAACCCACCCTCGGCGTAGCCCACTTCGGGCCATTCATTAATAAACGTCCTCTGTGAAAAGGTCATCTTGAAGGACAGTGTAGTGGGCCACGACTTTACACTAAATCAAATGGTGAAAGTTGGGTTGCTGTGTGCCTCACTGGTCCCCCTCTTGTATATTAGCCTACTAAAGAGAGTAGAAGAGAAACAGGACGTTGTATCCCAAGCTGAATAGCTAATCTATGGCTCATGTATACGGGCCTGGTTGTGCTTTAACCCCCTTTTCACTCAAACCCCAGATTAATGGATCCAACTCTAATCTTTTTACCACTGTTTCAGTACCTTAAGTCAGGGGAATGCTCGCCTAATACGGTGAGCAGTGGTTGACAGGATAACTACACGCCATTATATAGCACCCTTTAAGCTCACTAAACCGTTTAACTAAATATAAATGGCATTTTGTCCCCCTCATGTGTGAAACAGCCGGGTTCGGTCGCGCTTGGCAATATGGTGCTGTGAGGAGATCACGACTCACATGTCTCAAGGGCCGCCCCTCTCTATCTGCTAGGTATTTTTTTTTCTCTCCCCCGAAAAGAAAGGAAACATTAGTCGGTCCGTCTTTGCCAGTTTAAAGCGTTCTTTCTTCAGAGCTTACTAACAGCTCAAAGAAACGGAAGACTTCAGACTCATTCTCTGGCGAGAAATCAGTTAATGTTGCCATAGTATCTCCGCCATAGCTGCTCTGTGGTAAAATAGTAAATGGCGAGTTTATTGCGAACTTACAGGAGCTACTTTGAGATGAAAGACGTTATTGGCGTAGTAACGTCACCAGTCCTCTGTCACTGTGCATCTGTTACAGGCTCACTGCTGGTCTCTCTTGAGGGAGTGTGATGTCGCACTAACTAAAGGCGGGCGATGTTGCTCTAAAAGCAACAGGTACGTCTGTGCCCTTGAGTTGCAGAAACCATCACGGTCTGTCGCTACAGCCCATTTAAGAAATGTTCACTAATAAAGCTAGAGGGCGTTTGAGGTGATCAATTTTCTGTCTCTGTTATTTAAAAAAAAAAAAAAAAAAAGGAAATGACGAGTGTCAGATAGTGACGGGACACACCTCTTCGGCTCTACCAGTGTTTGTGTGTTCGTGTCGACATTTAAGACGCATCTGTGGCGAAATGTGCTGGCGAGCCGGTGGAGCGTGACTACGCTTCAACAAAAAGCCGTCAGTTAAAGCGGAGACATGAGTGAGGTGTGAATGTGGTGACTGCCCCTTCGCAACATGCTGCAGCAGTCTGGTGGGGGAGGTGCTCTCCATTCAAACTCTGCCTCTCACCACCAGTAGGCCAGCTCCTGTGCTATTTACATTTGTGGGCAACAGCGTTGATATCTGCCATTACTGGCTACAAAATGGTGTTGTGTACTTTCACTATCACCCACGTGCGCTCATATGAAACTGATGTAATGTCGATCTTGTAAATCTCAGGTCATTGGCTATTAGTACAAGTGTGCCCCTTAGATGCCCACCAAGGCCTTGTTCTGCTTTTAACCAACTAAAAAATATTATTGAAACTAAAATGAACGGGCAAGTGACAAAAGTTAGCACCGGTTATAACTTCACACTGTCTGACACTCTATTTGGCCTGAATTTCACCTGCATCCATGAGGACATTTTTTTAATTCTGTTTTGCAAATACTTCTCACCCATAAAACAGGCGCTGATCGCACCACTTTTTACACAGCGTATTCTTAACAAATAATTGCACATGACTGTAATCCCACACAACTCAGCTCAAAGTGTCCAAGTGTCAGTCTGTAGTTTCCTTCAGGTGTATCACACAGCAATCCTGCTATGGCTGCGCAATATTTATTCAGATGTTTTACTCATGTTTTTATTCAGTCCATGTTTCTGCTCAGTTTTTGTAGCTGTGGTACAAGACACATTGCCTCATGCCATGTGCCGTCTACAGTTAATGGGTCGGGCCTCCGAGCACAAAATAAAGGGCCGCTATGGATCGCATGTGCTGGAAACACTGCTCATGTGTTCTCAGTGTGTTTTTTTTTGAATGCAACAAACTCACAGTATCAGATTAACACAAGGCGTGGGGAGGGCAGGCCCGGTCAGCCAACTGACTCCCCTGCAGACTTCTCAGTCTACTGCTTTGAACATGCAAATGGCAGCACAAAGGCATTTTGGGAAGGTGCCACAACAACAGCAGACCTGACAAGAATGGGAACGTGGCTGTCTGTCTGTGTTCAGGAACCCAAAATCAGAAACAATATGATGCCAGGAGAGGGCTGTTACTGTTTGTCGGGGATTGGGGGGAAAAGATCGGGCATCAAATACCGAATGAGAAGTTATTTAGGTAGCAAGAAGACCTTTTTCGATACATTTCAAGGCCATGTGCTCTTAATGGCTATGTCCCTCCAACAGAAACCTAAATATGCAGGGTAGTAAGATATTTACATCAATTGAAAATAGATGTGAATATATAAATATTAAAATGACTCCCATAGGTGCATGGAAAATCAGATTGACCTATTACTGCAAAAAGTGGACAGTAAAGTTATTTTGGGCTACTTTCAAGGTATGCAGTAGGATCAGACAATACACAGTTTCTGGAGATACTCCTGAAGTGTGAGATCGCCACAAAAAAACATTTGTTCAATTTACCAATCACGACCACAGTATTACATCGCAGTGTTGTATAGCTGGATTCAAACAATTGGGCTGATCTAAAGATGGAGGGGGGGGAAAGTAATTACTAGCATAAAACACACAGCCTACTGAGGGTAGTGTCGATTTATCTTTTCTCAAGAAATGCTAATTACAAGTTTCTGTCTACAACAACGGCACCAATAAAGCCAGAGAAAGTACAAGTGAAGCCTTGCTGTTCAATGAAATGAGGACGGTGTTCATGCTGAACCTGTTGTGATAGGCGACAATGGGGGTGAAGGAGCGCCGCATCAGGGTGGCTAGAAATGCCTGGTGACTCATCCATGTAGAACTGGAACTGCAGCCCTCCTGCTGTTGCATAATTGGAGTAAATTTTAAATTGATGAAAATAAAAAAACCCTGCCATTGTTGTAAAATGGCTTCCATAATGAGGAGAGAAAGGGATCATACTGTGTTGAAGTAGTTTTTGAAGGATCTATTAAATGAAATTCCCGTGGTTTTTCTTGGCTCCTGGAGGTTCTGTTGACATTTGAAGGTTTTAGGTGCCAACTGTCTAGAGATACAAGACAACTAAACTAAAAAGCCAAACCAAAAGCTATGACAATGAGTGTTAATCAGTTTAAGGCCTGCTTTAATTGTTTTGGTCTAGGAAATGTCAAATGTAAATTTTTCTAGAGTTCAAAAACCTGATAATATTCAGTTCACAAGCCAAAATCAGAAAATGTTTGGCATTTTTGCTCCATAAATGAAAACAATTTGCTGATGAATCAGTAGATCCACTTCTTGTTTTATAATTAATGAAATGTACCTTTTCCCCCTGCAGTTAAAATCCTCTTGTTCTACCTGATATTCTACGGATGCTTGGCTGGAATTTTCATTGGGACCATTCAGGCACTGCTGCTCACGTTAAGTGACTACAAACCCACCTATCAGGACAGAGTTGCTCCCCCAGGTAAATTCATTCTTTTTTACTGCCTTTTTATGAGTGATCTGCTGCATTACTTGATGTTTCAGTAGCAGCTCACATGTTAAAGCAAACAGCAGCATCGAAAAGAGTAGTTCTGATTCGAGGTGTATCAGATTAGAAATGTTCTGGGCTAAGTCTGTGTGAAGATGTGGCTGTCTATGGTTCATGCAGATAGACATGTGTGTCAGGGTGTGCCTTTAAGCAGCTACTCTATCAGAAGTCTTTCTGACCTTAGATAGGTTCAGCCATTTTGTCCTTCACTCCTCTCAGCCAGTCAATGTTTCCCCCCTCAGGCTACAGGGGAACTGTTGTAGCTTACACCCATTGTGGCTGAAACGATTCATGTGTGCTATGTGTCACGGCCGACATGTTTACATACACATGTGTGGCAGCTACCGTTTGGTAGGGAAAAAAGAAAAAGAAGATTGAGTTTAGTCCCGGCTAAGAGGCCTCTAAGCTTGTGGAGAAGAATTCTAATCTGTACTCTTGTGAAAACACACACTGCTACAGCCACACTATGGCTGTTTCAAAATTTCCTGCAAGCTTGGTGATGGTGTAGATTTTAATTGCCCAGCCTTGTCTCGCTGTGCCAGTACTTGTTTGCAGCGCACATGCTGTAGCCATGGCGGTATTTTTAGCAGCTGTTGTAAATGACTGGCTTCCCGAACGCGGGTTAGTTTGACTGCCGTTTTTCTTGTCAACCTTCCACGACTGTTGACAATGAAAGAGTTGCCTGGCGGAGAAAAAGAGTGCTGAGCACTTTGAGCTGAAGCAAGTTTCCAGTAGTGGCAAGATAAAGGAAGCAGGGAGTAGTTTTTTATTTTTTTTTTCAGAGCTCAAGCCCGCCTCTCACTCTGGGGCTAAAAGTTTCCATTGTGAGAGAGACACACGTGAGAGTGGATGGGTGGGGGCAGGGGATTGGTGGACTTTCACAAGCCACCACTGAAATTCGAATGACTAAATGTGAGTTCCCTGTCTCTGCTGCACAAATACCCCAGACCTTGCTCATAACTACAGCAACAAATAAACAGATCCAACAATGAGGCTGGGAAAAGGCTCAGAACTGTGATGTTTCCTTTCACTCCTCTTACCCATCTCAGTCTCTTCATGCCACGCCTCGCTGAGGCGCTGTGCACAAGGTCTGTGGAAAATTACTGCTATAAAGAGCTGACAGAGACCATCTGAGGAAATCCCTAAGACCCCACATTGTGTGTTGTCCTAAGATAATAGACCAGAGACTCTACAAAGAATAGCTTGCATGGTAGACAGTGCAGATGTCAGGAACTTCACTTCACAAGCAGAAAACAGTTTATATTGTGTTTTCCTCAAGTTGCTGCATTTAAATCATTGAACTCTTATAATCAATGTTTCCCCCTTTTTAATTAGTAGTTTCTTATCAATAAAATGTTCTGTGTTTTCAGGTCTATCACACACCCCACGCTCAGACAAATCTGAAATTGCTTTCAACAAGGATGATAAGTCTACATATGAGAAGTACACCAAAAGCATGATGAGTTTCCTTAAACAGTATGATGAGGAGCGTCAAGTTGATACCATGAAATTTGAAGACTGTGGAGGCAAGTATGAGCCAATCGTCAATCAAGATTTGTCATATTCATGTATTTAGCTATATTAACAATACAAAGCCTACAATAATAATATGTTCTCTTAATTTCATGTAAATACTGGTTGGAATTTGCTCTGGTTGTATTCACTTTATATACTCTGTGTATTTATAGGTGTAATGTGTCTTTTTTTGTGTGTACCATTTGCAGACACTCCTCAGACATACAAGGACCGCGGACCTCTGGAAGATAAAGATGGACAGAAGAAAGCTTGCCGTTTCAAAAGGTCTTTGCTCGGTAGCTGCTCAGGGGTGCTCGACGACTCTTTTGGCTTCAAGGAGGGAAAGCCCTGCCTTATTGTCAAGCTCAACAGGATTGTTAACTTCAGACCAAAGGTAGGTTTACTGCACACTTACAACATTATAGCTTTCATTATTGTAGGTGCATTCACACTGATAAAGGTGAATGAGTTTGACAGGACAGATAGAACACGGTCATAAAACTAGTAGCACACAGTGTAAGTGTTAACTGATGTTACCAATCTGATAAATCCTTCGGGATCAATGAAAGGAGCCACTACTTTGTTAGATGTGTTGAATTATAAAAATGTGGAGATTTTCACCTTGCAACACAAAAGCAGCACAAAAACGTCACTGGAAATGTAAATCAGCCTTATCCAGGAACAATAAATCAGGCATTGCTCATACGTTTCATTGTTTTTTTTAAAGTCATATTTGATTGCATTTGGTCTTCATTACTGGCCCACTAGCTTTACAAGCCAAATACATCCAACCACAAGTCGGATGTATTTGGACATATTTTTCTTTTTTTTTTTTATGTCACTTGAATGCAGCAACATAAAGTATTACGTGTGCATGTAGGGTGCTTACTGTAATTTCAACCCACATTTCGGGGTATTTCCACCGTATTATACATCAGTTACGTGCACGTTGCACCATGTAAAACCACATGTTGTGGCAGCAGCCTGGTTCTGCTGCCCGCCAGTGAAACCTAACATAACCACCTGCTCAGGATGTTGTTCATCAACCAGTCTCTCTTTTTCTAGGCTCCTGCTAACAACGGGTCACTCCCAGAGGCTCTGCAGGCCAAAGCACAGCCCAACCTGATCCCCATTTACTGCAAAAATAAGGTGCGTTTGATATGTGTTTTATATATACTAGTAAATTATTTGTCTATAGTATTAATTCTGTAAAAAAAAAAAAAAAAGTTAATTTTAAATCAAATTCAACCGTTGGGTTTGCAGAGAGAAGAGGATGAAGCCAAGATTGGAGAGATCAAGTACTTTGGGTTAGGCGAAGGCTTCCCTCTTCAGTACTACCCATACTACGGCAAACGGCTGCACCCCCAGTACCTGCAGCCTCTGGTGGCCATTCAGTTTACCAACCTCACTCTCGGTCAGGAGCTCCGCATTGAGTGTAAAGTATATGGAGAAAACATTGACTACAGTGAGAAAGACCGCTACCAAGGACGTTTTGATGTCAAGTTCACAATCAGTTCAACATGACCTCAGCCATGATGAGCACTTTCATTTTGAAACAAATAAAATGTAGAGCGATTCTAAAAGAGTTCAGATAAACCCCACTAGTCTCTGAACATTCATAATATACAGGGCCTACACTTAATCTGTGTGCTTTACATTAGCTTTTCTGTGTGTTTGTCGAGGGTTAGAATGTAAAATACAAGAGTAGCAATAGCAAATATTTATTCTATTGTACAAGAAAATATTCCGTGAGCCATGGGATGTGTTCATCTATTACTGTAAAACTGCAATTCCACTACTGACGTGTAGCGAGCTGTGTTTCTGTCCCCGAGTATTTCACCCTAATGTGGTTTCTATATATTTTTTGGAGTGTCCAGTGCTGTAGTCCAGTCCTGTTGTAATCTCTTCTGTCTTATGTCAGCTTTAGTGGTCCAAGGTGTGTGCGTGCGCTCGTGTCTGTGTGCAGGTGTTTTAGTTTATGTGAGTGTGTGGAGTGTGTGTTAATGTGCTCTGACTAACTGAATTACTAGCTAAGGTACTCTGAACCTTTAAGGCCCATGTATGAGTAAATGACTGCGCTCCATGGAATCTATATATTTTCTTTTTTTTTTTGGTCTGTTTCTTTATCCAAGTTGTCCAAGTTGACTGTGGAAGAATACATTTGTACACCTTTTTTTCTTTGTTGTTCACCTTAGCTGTAGGATATTGTTTGATGACATTTCTGTTTGATACTCTTACATCTGTTCATTCTTAATTCATAGTGTAGAGCTTTGTGGGTCCAGCCTAGAAGACTGTCACCTCCATGGAAACAGTGGCAACTCAGTGCTTTTGAAATCTGTTTTGCTGGAGACATCACATGACGTGATGCTACTTCCTATTGAATGTTTTAGCCATTTTCATGGTGGAAGAATTTTATATTTATGCAGTTGTAAATTTTTTTCAAAGTTTAATGTATGAATCCAATACCAAAGTCGCTGGTCAAAAAGTTAAAGAATATCAGAGGCAATGCAGTATCCCGTGTAATAAGATGTTTAGTTGGTGTGAAATACTTAATTCAATGTTAAAGATCAAAACACTTGGCAGGACTCTACTCTTGTCACTTTATTTAATCTGCACAAGGCTGAAACAATAAACAGAAAAATGAGTCAACTGTAAAGTCTTTGAATATGTAGTTGCATGTTTTCTCCTTTGCATTCACCCGTCCAAAATCTTGAAGAAATACTGCACCTGTCAAAGGAATTGAGATAAATGAATTGGAGAACCAACTGAATCAAACATTAACATCAAAGTATCAACCAGTCCTTCCTCTCTAATATTAGAATAGTGACATTGTGAAAGTTCAAGAGTAAATTCTCCTCTTCGCTTTCTTGGCCACGATGTCCCAGTCTTAGGAAAATGGCAGCTCAGTCAGTCACAGGCTAATGTTTAACAAGGAGGCATTTATCCAGGCCACAGATCAGGAGTTTTCCTGAACAATGACGCTTGATGGGTCAGACCCACTCCCTGCAAAACAATGGTTTTGTTTCAAATTCCTCTGCCATTCTTGTTCTCCTCAAAACCAGTGTGAGCTAAGGTTGCCCCAGCCCACAGAGCAGAGTCATGAGACTCGTCTAAAGGCACGGCTTGACAGAGTCAAGGGGATTTTGTTCTTGGATAAAGCTAAGGTAATTATTTATGCATGGACGGAAAGATAATTAGGAAACCTATTTGGTAGGATCAGAGGAACTACACATGAAATAATGGGTGTATTTTATGGAACATAGACTGTACAATGTGTCAGTGACATATCACCCACCTCCAGAACACCGTCTTCAGGAAGGTCTGTACAGTGGACTGCGTTTTTCACTTTGTCTTTGCCATAAAGAGCACGCAATGTGGTTGGACGAAGATGCCGGGAAATTTCCTGTTGAACAGAAACATCTAGACTGTGATTCCTTCACTGATAAAACAAATCATCTTATTTGCATGCAACTCCACAACCTTGAAACTAAAAACAATGAAATGAAAATATCAAGTCCTTTTCAAACTGAACATCCTGTGCAGTTGTATATTGGTAAGACAAAGTGTTTACTCAGCAAATGGACATGTGATCCTGTAGAGGAAGTGACAAAACACTGACGCTCAGCAAAGGTTACTACACAGTAAATAGTGGACTAGATTACCGCTGCTTCCTTTTTAAGTTTCAGAATGAAAGAAATGTTAACCATAGCATAGTCAGTTGTTATAATACTGCAACAGGTATTGTTGATACTAATACACTTACTAATAACATTTCCATACCACTCCTCTCTATTAAGTGCAGTTCTAAAACCAATCAAAAATATTTTCACTACCGTTTACATATTTTCTCATCACTGTGCACAACAAATACTTTATAGAGACACTAAGTTCTCCTTTTTATTGCTTTGTGTACATGCAACAGCTTTATCATTAGTGTCTGGATATTTCCTTTCAACATCAGACACCCCCAAGGTCAGAGCCTTGGGGGTTCTCTTGCCCCCAGGAAATGCAACCCTCCCACAGGGAGTGACAATATGTGAATCATTACTTCAGCTATGCCACTACTAGCTCTAAAGGGAAGCTAACATTATACAAGATATTGGGAAAAGCAAATTACATGATATTTTATGCTTTAAAGAAACAGTATGGTTGTTTAAGTTGGGTCAAAGAGAATATACTTAATACTGAAATGAAGACAAATGCATCCACATAACACCAGCTAAGGTTGGATTTGTGCGGGTAAACCTTTCCTATGACATTTTGTTATCCAGTGGTTTATGAGTGTGCACACAAAAGGCAGGAACACGTTTCAAGGTCATACATCAACCCACCCTCCTCCTCCAAGCCAGTCATTGTCTCTTAAAACAAAAAAGCTTGGGGAAAACAAGTCCCCTGGTTCAAATGATTCTACTACACAACACTGAAATGTTAGTTCAAGGATCGTGGGAACTGTGGGTCAACTGTTTTAGCTCTTTTCCTACGAGTGTTGCAATTTGAAGTTACAAACAACTTATTGGTTATTTTTGTCAAATATGTGCCACTATGAAATTAACTAAATAGAGTAAGATGGTGATCATGGTAAACATAATACCTGCACAACATCAATGTGTTAGTATTGTCATTGTGAGCATGTTGATGTTATCATTTAGCTTAATGTACTGCTGTGGTAAGTACAGCTTCACAGAGCTGTTGGCATGGGTATTGTTCTACAGTAGCTTCCCCATTTGCAGTTCAGTGTCATTAACAGTGACAAGAGGTGATGTGAGGCGCTACATTTGAGAACTGTTTGGTCAAACAAACGGACACATCAAATGTCTTGTGAGAAATGTTGGTGGGTGTTAATGCTTAGCAAACTGAATTAACACTGCAGCAGGAGAAAACTCAAAATGAGTTGTTACTGGCTGAACTGTAACTGCGGTTTTTTGTCAAGTGCCATCATCTGGCTAATTGTAAGCATCAGATTGTGTTAGAAAGAATGAACAACAGAAGGATTGCTAATACTAAACTAAAAACCGTAGCCTGTGCTTAACTATCTGCAAAATAGCCCTGACCAGGTGAGTCCCGTGCTACATGAGACTAAAGCCAAAGATGGCAAAGGGGAAATTAGGGGGAGATTTACTTAGTGATAAAAGAATTCTTTGCTAAGCGCTGCTCTCTGTAATTGTATTAGTTACCCATGAGTGACCTGCAGTCAGAGTTTAATTTGATTTTAATGAGTCCCGTAGTTTGCTCAACTGATGTTCACACAGTGACTGCAGGCTTTTGTCGACAGTGACCTGGTGGTTACATGACCATCCAGAAATTCGAAAAGTCTCACGTCTGATCCTTCATGCACTGCTGAATGTTCAACCGTGCTCAAGTGAGCGAGTCAGTCACATGGCATATGGCCTTTTACTGCTACCAACTACTACATCTACTACTACTGTCTGTTAGGGCCACCTAAACATTGACCAGATTAGGAAAAAGAACCTAAGCCTATTGCTATAATGTTCTATGTATATAAAAGGTGAATACAAAAGTCTCCCAAACAGGCAAAACATGAAGCTCTGTGGAAACTATTCATGGTTTCTCTGTAATATCCACTGATGTTACAGACCATGAAAGGAGCCAACATGGCAAAATCTAGTTACAATTTTCACCATTAAGTTTAATCAACAACAAACTTTACTGTTTTAAAAACAAAACTTGAAACATGAACATGTGTAATAAGGTTATATTTCTGCTCTACTCAGATGTATCTTTTCAGGGTAGTACAGTGTACTAAATTTAGCATAGTGGTCACCAGGGACAGCTGATATCTCTTTCCACAGAAGCATCACATGGGTCAAAAATCTATAGGAAAAGCATATTTTTTAACACGATGCAGGGACAGTATCTTAGCCTCATGTAACAGGATGTCCAGGCTTATTTCATCATCTCTTCCACTCATCATGTACTGTAACACAAAGGGAGGCAACACAGCATGTTGTGACTACCATGCACTGCTGCTGTGTAGTGGGGGGTGCCAGTGATTTATTAAGCTGCTGATATAAAAATGGAAATGTATACTTACAGTCTGTAAGAAAAGAAAACACTATGGACGAGGGTAGAGGGTACAGGCTGGGTCAGGACTGGCTAACAGAGGACTGTTGTGTCTGCCAACTCTGGTATCAGGACACATCACAAGACAGAGCACAATCTCATTACTGAGTGAGTGCAATGCAAGGCAGCTAAGGGTGTGGAGGTGTGAATACATGAGGATCCTTTATGTGTCATATATTTTAATGTTTCACAACTCTTCTCTGAGGGAATATTATTAATGAAATTGATATACCATCAACTCTAATATGATAAAGTGTGTTTGAGGTCACTTAATCCAGGTCAGCTGTACAGTCATGTGTTTATTCACACAAGACCCGTGTTGTTTATAGATTAGTCTTTGGAATTAATCAATAGCTTGTTCTTACCAGAAACAACTGGCCCAACAATTAAAAGATATTCTGACCTCTTCTTACAGTCTGGCTTTACAGCGTTTGTCCAGTTCAATCTGCCGGCCTGATAATGACGTCTGGAATGTCTTTACTCACCGCATTTGAAAATGTACTGTACTTTGGTACTTAGCACAACAATGTTACATGGACACACACACGCCCTGTTGGTGACCTCAGCAGCGAGCCTCTAACGCACTGAGAGTTTCTCTGAGATCTCAGTGCTGCTGTGACTTTCCATTTATCTCATATATCAAATGACTGAACTGCACTGAAAAGAGTAGGAGTGCTAATGATTAGGTTGTTAGTCAGACAATGCTGAGGTGAGTCTGGAGGTCACAGACTGATGAAACTGCTCGTCAGCTAAAGGACAGAACCTCTGGCAGCAGCCTGAACTATATGAAATATATTGGTGAATTTAACAGTAAATACTGTATACTGCTGTGGTGGCAGCCCGGCTGACGGTGAGTGTCCTGGTTTTTTTCTCCTTTTGTTTGTCTGTGATTCAGTTTTTTCCCTGGTTTTCTCTGTTCTCTGCCTGCCTCCCTGTGTGTGTGCTCTCTCTCTCTCTCTCTCTCCCTCCGCTCCTGAGCCCAGCCAACGACCAGCACCTGCATCTTGTCTACCTCCTCCTCTGCCTGCCACACCTGCCAGCGATCAACTCCACCTCTGCCAGTACTTCAACCCTGGTTCTCCACACTACCTCGGCTTAATTGTCGTTGCTCCTTACCCGGTGCCACTTCAACATTGAAAGCTTGCACGTATTTTGCATCCTTTCCATTTCCCTGTGCTTTGTCTCCGCTGTGTCTGACCCTGTTTGTTTGTCTGTCTGTCTCTCCCCAGGTTCACTCACCCTCGTCTTCAGTCAGTCAGCTGGGCTCGCTCACCTGCCCTTTCCCCCTCGGACTACCCCCATGGCGTCCTCCCAGTTCTCCTGTGCCTCCTCTCTTCCTCGGCCCCAGTGCCCCCCGGCTCTCTGGTCCCTGTCTCCTCGGTTCCCTGTACCTGTGTTTCCCCGGCATCCACCTCACCCTCAACCCCTTCTTTCTTCTAATAAAACCTGTCAAACCTGAGCGTTGCATTTGGGGCCACTCTGTCCCCACACCTGTAACAGTATACATTTCCCCCATATACAGTCAGTACACACTTATGCCACTCATCACTTTTGATATAATAATTCCACTGTAAAAACAATCCCAGTGCGATTGCCTCTTCACTGTGATTTTTCTACAATGGACAATGTATGCTATTAAAGGTAACTTGTAAGATAATACAAATACATAAACATTCTGCACATATGATCTTTAAAAGGTGCAATGTATAAGCATAAAGATACTCTCCACCTGTCTAATTGATACTCCAAAAAAATAGAGGGCAGAAAATCATTTCAGGTCATAACTGCTGATAATTGCCGTTAGCTCAGTTAGAGGTCCTATTAGCTTACAGAGTCCAGACCAGGACCGAACACAGCCTAAGAGGCCAACAGAGGTCAGTTCGACAACAGCGAAATACGGAGGGGAGGCTCAGATTATCAACTCTAAGTACAAAGTGGTATTACTACACAGGATGGGCCAGGGGTAGCTGCTTAGCATGCTAACTTCACTAGATATCTCTGCAAGACAATACAGAGACGTCTTCATAATATCAGAACTTTTACTTCTTCAGATTCTGTTAATAATGGTAGTTCATTATTTCAATGTTTTAAATCTCTTAAATTCTTAAACATTACACTTTTAAGGAGAGGGTAACTAATAACCTAACAGAGGGCAGTTGCAAAGGTGTAATTATTTTGGTATCAATAAGCTATGGTGTAGCGTCAGCGACCTGGAAATCATTAGCTGATTACTTAACAATTTTACTGCTCTGTGGCTACAATGTCAGTAACATTTTGACAGTGGTCTGGAAGGATTGATGGTTAAAGACAGAAAGAATAACAAACAATTCAGTCAGAAACAGAGGAAATAACATTAAAACTATTTTTAACTGGATTGACAGCTGAGTGGACACCTGCTGAACTTTTAGGGGAATTTGTGCAGGTATGTAGTCCCTCATTTTTACTGTAACTTAACAGTGATAGGAGGCATTAGATTTCACATCACGCACTAGCACAGCCCTGCAGCACTGGTTCCACAGTGCCTACGAACACACACACATATACACGTCTCTCTCTCTCTGTCACATACACTCACACACACACACACGTTTATTTCATGGGCAGCCAGCTCATTTATCAAATCACTTATCAAATAAGCCACAAAATCTTTACTATGTACACTCAGCAATGGCCAAAACAGCATTCTCCAAAAATATCAAGTTTTTTTTGTCTGATTCAGGATTCTTTAAAACCAACAGGTGTTTTACTTTTCATGCGATCTGCTTTGAACCAATCAGAGCTTGAAACCAACTACTGAGCTCATAAAAATACAGGGATCCTCAGTCACCTAGCTTCCAGCTGCCTGGCTGGCTTAATGACTTCTCAGCATATGTATTCAAGGCTGCGATCACTTAACAAAAAGTTAACTCCGAAGATTTTGCCAAGCTTATGCAGGATACAAGATAGAGTGCCACACGCAGCTGGCTGTACGTTCACACATAACTCAACAAACCTAAGCCTCAAGATGAAAAGGAGACAGGCTACTGAGTATATGTTACATATGAAAATGTTTTCTGTTGCCTGTCTTTAACAACATGGGCATTTGAAAAACTCAGTTCAAAAGAAAGATGATAGCTGAATTGCAGATGATAGATTGATTTTCACCACACTTACCCCACCCTTTGACATTTAACTTGTTTGAGAGGTTTCTAGTGTAGAATATAATGAGCAATCAAATAGCAAATCATATTCGATATTTGACTCACTGGATCAGCGGGCCCACAGAATTCCCTGAATGACTGAGGAGCGTCGGTGCCATGGATCTCTAGGACCATGCAGGGTCCAGAACACAGCTCGGTCACCATGCTCTGCAGAGAGTGGACGTTTTACTTACATGAAGAATTATACTGATAAGGGTAATAAACCACTCAACTTCAAACATTTGATTATTCCTCTAGAACAGGGGTCGGCAAATAAGTCTGGTATTGGGCCAAATTTTTTTCAAGTCATTAGATGGCGGACCAGAACATATTCAATTGATTATTTATGATCCAGTATTATTTATTTATGATCCTCTATCAAAGTAATCTGGCCATGGGCCAGATATTATTGCTGGTGGGTCAGCTTTGGCTCGCCCATTGCCGACCACTGCTCAAGAGCTTAACAAAAGATTAGGCGTTTGTGTTTCTTTATCAAAAGTAACAACTGACAGAACTTTGATGCAGGTACTTGCTATGATGGCACAACAGCGTAGTGTTTATACTCACAGGATACTCTGTGACAACACCTTTGTAAACTTCATAGAATTCTTCTGCATTTGCCCGGTCCACGTTGAACTGTGAAAAGGAAATATTACTCAACAATGGAATATGCATAATGCACTGAAGGAAAACAAAACAGTAGAGAGCACAATGAAGCAATTTCCTTAATCAAATAAAAATGCATTAATTACTGTATGTTTTTAATTGTCAAAACAGCTCCATTATCACAGAAGACCTTTTTTAACTTCTGTAAAAAATACTAACCAATGTTTTAACAACAATAAAAGATATGAAATCTCCTCAGAACAAAGGCACTGCATGACTTGCTAATATGTTATTTTATTCCCATTAATGCACACCACACTCTGCATGTGGCAACAGTGATTCAAAACCCTGATTGATTTATTTTTGTTCAACAGCCCAGAATGTGCATCACATCTGATGGGGTGAAACGAATGGACCGTGAGAGGTCACTGTTTGCAGCGGTGACGCTGACTTCAATTTTGAGGCAGTCAATACAGTGCACATATTGGTTACATGAGTACAGCTAGCTACGATAAATGGGCATATGAGCAGAAACCCAATATTCTTCTGGAACTAGTTTACATGAGCACAGTGAAAGGATGGCAGGCACAGCAAACGTATGAAAGACTCTGAAAGAACACAGTATAAGGAGAATTATTTGCTAAACTTTTACCATCTGAAGGGCTGAGATTTCAAATCCAGCTGATATGGAGTTCAGGATCTTCCCCGTCAGACCTATGAACACATAAAAGCTGTTCTTTATGATCCCTAGGTTTACACAGATTGGCAAGCAAGTCATATAGTGCTACAATAAACTCTTCAATCTGATCAAAGACTTTCTGTAGCAGCAGTCACAGTAAAATTCATCACATGATCAAACTAATAACATTATTCTTATACTTATATTAGTTATTATTACTGCCATCCTAAAACTCTAGTTGTTATTATTACTCTTTTTCAGACCTAAGTGTTTTCTTATTTTGCATTGACCTCACGTAGTAGTGTCTCTTCTGGACAAAGAACATTGAGATTGTCTTACAGATGTCCTGTCTGTTAGAGGAGAGGAGACATTATTTTTGTCCACAGAGTCAACACTTTGGAAAGAGACATACAGAGGTGTAGCTCTTGTCACTGTGGCCGTACATTATGGTAAAAATGGTACAACCACAGCGAGGAAAGTGCATCAGTGACAGTGGAGGTCAGACTGCTGCAGACGCACATAATTAAAAGAGGGCGCCAGTCTCATAATCTCAGTCTGACATCCTGATAAAAAGTAGCCTGTGTACTTGTCAGGAAGGATAATAGGAGTGTAATCGTGACTTTTGGTTTGGGCCTGGTGCAGCAGTGAGGGCTGATGAGTTTCTCTCTTATTTGGATAATCATTCGTACTCAGTCCAGTTATATGTGTATTAGGTAAGTATCACCTCCTGAGCTCTCTCTGCCTTCTACAGCCTGCAGCCAGCGCCTCTCTATACAGCCTCCTGAGCTCTCTCTGCCCTCTACAGCCTACAGCCTAGCACTCTGCACAGCTGCCCTCTACAGCCTGATAGGCCCACACTCTGCACAGCTGCCTTCTACAGCCTGCAGCCAGCGCCTGATAGGCCCACACTCTGCACAGCTCCTCTCTCTGCCCTCTACAGCCTGCAGCCTGCAGCCAGCCCCGATAGGCCCACACTCTGCACAGCTCCTCTCTCTGCCTCTCTACAGCTCTGCACAGCTCCTCTCTCTGCCCTCTACAGCCTCCGATAGACCCACACTCTGCACAGCTCCTCTCTCTGCCCTCTACAGCCTGCAGCCTGACCCACACTCTGCACAGCCTCCGATAGGCCCACACTCTGCACAGCTCCTCTCTCTGCCCTCTACAGCCTGCAGCCAGCCTCCGATAGGCCCACACTCTGCACAGCTCCTCTCTCTGCCCTCTACAGCCTGCAGCCAGCCTCCGATAGGCCCACACTCTGCACAGCTCCTCTCTCTGCCCTCTACAGCCTGCAGCCAGCGCCCGATAGACCCACACTCTGCACAGCTCCTCTCTCTGCCCTCTACAGCCTGCAGCCAGCGCCCGATAGACCCACACTCTGCACAGCTCCTCTCTCTGCCCTCTACAGCCTGCAGCCAGCCTCCGATAGACCCACACTCTGCACAGCTCAGAGAAAGCAGCTGCTGCTGTTGCTAGGAGATCATATTCTGGGTGCCTGGCAACAGAAGCTTCCCTATTCCAGTCATGTCCGAGTTTCAGTCACAACCTCCTTTATCACCGCTGTGATTGGCTACGACCCCAGCACACGTAGCTGTAATGTAATATTGTCTCTTAAGTGATCTTCAATGGAAATCAAAGCAATCATTTTGATGCTATGTCTTTGAATTGACCGACAATCCCAGAGTGGGCCTAGCTGCCTTATCCCTCAGACTGGGTTTCTATTTTTGGCTCAGACCAGAAGGTGTCACCTGACGTCTGATGAAAACATTGTGTTGTCACATTAAAACCCTGACAGTACTATAATTTAAGCAATTTGGATTTGCATTTTAATGATGCAAGTCCATTGCAATGTAATCTGGAAAAAAAACTGAAAATACAAAACCAACGTTATTCTTTTGCTTTTTGCTACAATATGTGTAGATTTTCTACAAAACTATTCTGATAAACTGAAACTGAATATGAACTGAATAGCAGATGAACGCCAGACCTGTCAGCTAATCATTAAGAGTAACTTGGGGCGATGACGATACCTTTAAAAGTTCGTGCCACTTCTGACCAACTGTTCAAACGAGGTAATGTAGTTTCTCACCTCAGATTTACTCAGAAAGTGATTTTGTTGGGTAGGAGGACTTTGACAACATATTCAGATCTGCCACTATCTTTTTAAAACTTGAATATCAGAAGACAATTGGCAGTCCAGTTATTGTGTTCATCATGTCTTAGTGAGCAAAAGAACAGTAGACAGCAGAGCATGCTTGAAATGATGTATGTCGCAAGCAAATAACTATTACGCTGCCAGACCGCAATGAGCTCAGAGAAATTTGTGGGCTGACTAAACTCCTCTTCAGGCACTTGAAACAAAATGTATAAGGCATGCATGTATAATTATTAGCTCTATAAATCAATAATAAAATGCTGAGCGTTTGCTGCTGTTTGAACTAATCACAATCAGCCGGTTACAGCCCTTGTTGTTTAATAGACATTAAGAAAACTAAGAGACAAAAGTAAAACAAAATATTACTTAAGTAGTGTGCATCAGTAGCGAACATAATTACAGACATTAAGACAGGCCAGTTTAGGATTTCTCTTTCCACCTAGACAAATCTCTATCTACTGTAACGTACAGAGCCGTAACAGTATTTAAGAACTAGTTACACAATCACATCAAGTACTTAATACAATTAACTGAATGAATGTAAGTAAACAGTAAATGATTAAACTTATTTCCTTTTTTTTTTTTTTGTAGTGTTTAACGGTGGAATTTATTTTGGATGTTATGTGATATTTGTATGTATAAAACTGTGTGATTTCCTTGTTGGACCCTAGGAACACTAGCTGATGTCATGGCATTAGCTAAGGGGGATCCTAATAAATAAAACTAAACTTCTGTCTAGAATAAATAATAACCATAATCAATAACCACTGGCATGCACACTCTAGGTTTTGGAGGAATTTAAGTTGCTCAGTTATGCAGGAAAACTGAGCATGACCATACATAGTTAGGTTTTTTTTATTGGGCCCTCTCTCATAGACCTTTCTTACTGGCTAACCTTTCATGTCTTAGCAGGAAAAGTTATTGGTATTATTACTCCAGTAATAACATTAAAGATGGCTTCATTCCATTTAGGTGTGGCAGAAAGTCAAACCAGCGGGCAGAATGCACAGTACCCGGGTCCCGGCACCCCTAGATATCTACAGACATTATTAATAATTAATAGGTCAAAATGTCCCGTCGCGGGAAAGGTCTACACACTAGGGATAAAATAAGGAATACTATTAATGGTAATGTTTCTGCTGCTTCCTTTCTGATGTTCCTTTTGAATAAACATTGCAAGCAAGGACGTGCATCTCCCAATCAAAATGTCATCTCCGCTCACAACGTTGCCAAGTTTGTCTCAGCTGAGTTTTGTTTGTTCGCTATCTGATGCTAAGCAAGTGTTATTTCTTAATTTAGAATGTTAGCATGCACAAAAAATAGAAAAAGAAAGCACAAATACATTTAATCAATATATTCAGTCAGTTAATACTGACCTGGTCCAAACCAGAACCATAATTTTTATTTAATCTTTATTTAATCATAAATAAAAATGAAATTAATTTAGATGGGACCACAGTGAGTTTGTTTATCGGCATAAACTGTGTGTGGGCTAATGTCTCCAGAACGACCAGTATGGGTCTCTCTTCTTGTCAACAACTTTCTGTGTGCATACTTCAGCTCTGTCCAGAGAATTTCACATTTTACAGGTCAGAGCTCTAGTGGCATGCTCCATGAACAGGGATCAGGACAGGGATTTGGAAAAATCCAAAGCCAAATTTGGTAACCATGAAGAGCCTTTGTGTGACACAAGCACATTAACGGCCATAGGTCAAGGGGAGAATATATTATGGTCAGTGGACTGCACTCATTATATCTGCATAATTTATGGACGTATTAACAGACAGACAAGGACCAAGATAGATAAATAGATACGTAGATAGATTGATTGATAATATAAATATGTGTTGGCTGCATAGTGATGGAATGGTATAATAGGTATATGTTCCCTACCTTCTGATATCGCATGAGGTTTGATGATGCAACATGTGCAGTCTGTGTAGATGGCTGTATTAGAGGGGCCATGGCCAATTGTGGATGGGAAAAAGAATTCAAGCTCCTAATAAAAGAAACAGGATAAAAACAACTTTAGAGTGCATAATAATCATTTCTGAGAATGCAGAGCGTGGGGTACAAGGGCACATATGAACATGAATAAAGCTAACAGGCTAGCTTCAGATCCTTACTCTTGCTGCTGCAGCAAGTGAGTCAGAGCCATGTCCAACATTTTTTAAGCCATCTGTTCCAAACTGGGCACGGACACTCTGCGGTGCCTCCTTCCGCGCCACAGCAGAGTCTACAGGTCCCAGGAGCCTCCTCCAGATAGACACAGCCTCATCACCCATCAGCTCCATGGCAACCACAGGGCCCGAGGACACAAACTGCACCAGGTTACTGCAAAATGGAGCAGCGACGGAATAACTCATCCATATAAGTGGAAATCCAACTAGCAGTAGCTGTGTGAAATATTTTAAATGTCACTACAATGTCATTAGGATCGTTGCCACAGGTTCTGTTAATTATAGTGGCCTTGCTAACAGAAATGTTCTCAGCTGGCTCACACTTGCTGAAAACCAGCAAATCATTTACAGACACTCACTTGAAGAAAGGCTTTGACTGATGTTCGACATAAAAGTCTGCCGCTTGGCTCCTGAAAGGTAGGAAAACCATAAACCATGGAGTTAATGTTCAAATGTGACTCAAATGCAAACTACTGACATTGACATTTACGGACATCAATAACATGTAATTTCTTTCCTGAGTAAAAGGCTACTGTGTGAATTGGTCCTCTTTGGTGTGTAAGATTTTAGCTTCTTAATTGTCTGGGGGGAAAAAAACAATGGTTCTGAGGTGACAGGACTGAAATAAAATAATATTTTACCATAACCACTGATGTCATGTTCTCAATTTGAATTTTTACTTAAAATGACAGGAGCATTAAAATTACCTTTGGTGCTCATTATACTCATTGCTATATCCGACACTGAGATGGGATTGATAATATAATTTCACAATGAAGGAGCACCCGATAAAACCTTTAGTAGTTAATTAAATGCCGACCTTGCCTGGCCCTTGGCACGCCTTATGTTCCTAATATGTGTGAGAAAAGAGAGCCATCCATCTGTTTATGTGAGGATACTGGCACCAAACAGCCTGTGTCTCCCTCTTTGACAGAAGTTTGTTTGATACATTACCACAGTGTGACTTGTAGTATTATGAGTCACTCTCACCAGTGAAACTATGACCTTACCATGTAAGCTTTGTCATTTTGGCTTTGGTCACAATCAGGTTGGAGGAGTATATCAGTTCAAGGACATCTCCGATCTTGGTAACTACATCTGGCTTTATTAATGCAAGAGTTCTGGAGAAAAGGAGAGAGCATTTGAAAAACAGATCATGTCTGACATATAAGCCAATAAGAAGCAAGTCATCAAGATCAGACACCATAAAAGAAACACTTACAATCATGAATGCTTTCAGATGTGTTTATAATCTGTAGGGCCGAGTATTGTCTTGTCAAGCCAATTTTGTTTATATAGTGAAATGTTAGGAAATGTTTTTGGAGGAAAGCAAATGAATAGAGGAAAAAAGTATTTAATGGATATTGTTTTGGTATCTGTTCCAAGAATAAATATATATAGCAAATAAATCACAAATAAAATGTGATTTATAAAGTCAAACACATACAACCAAAGTCTCTTGCTTTTATGTTAAGAATCTGATTGACAGCTGCTGATTAGAAACCCATACATACCAATATATAAGAATCTAAAAGGACCTTCCTGTAAATTACAACAATAAATACAGAAAACATATGTAGATCACACAGCAGTTTTCCTAACATTCTACAGAAAATGTAGCAAATCAAGACATAACACCTGCAATTTCCTTAATATTTTTTACCATTCTGAGGAATAAGTAAATATACAATGAGTGTATAATGTCTGTGAGAAATCCTGCACAAAATACATTCAACTTTAAAGAATTTTAAAATAAATATTAAGAGCCACAGTTACAGGGATTATCTGTGAGGTGAGACATGTAACTGGAGAAGATCATGCAGACTTATCACACACCCATACCTTTCTTTTTTGCTGCCAAGCTTGTTTGCTGTGTACTGATCCCCATAGTCAATCAGGTTAAGCTGTCGGGAGAACACATTCACTCGATTCCCAATGAACAGGTCCTCTGGATTGAGGTCGTCATATTTGGTCCTTCTCAAAAATATTCGCTGGTTTTTTACATCAAACTGCAAATAAAAACAAACACATTGGAAATTTATTAAAATTAGCTCGTTTCAGATTTAAGCAGTTCATGGTAACTATGAAAAATATCCCAGAGAGCACATAACATAGTGTTGCTGGGCCAATTTTTCCAAAATCAAAAAGAATAAACATCTTGCCGTAGAAATCTCCTTAAAGATTCACATCTTGATGGTAAAAAGCTTGATAACGACAAGTTACAGTAGCCTTGCCTTTACAAGTTGACGAAGTTGTTAAAGCAGTGTTGAAGCAACCAATCTAAAAGCAAATTTGAAAAACATTAACTGCAGTAGCAAATGCTTACCATTTCCACTGAGCCATCTTTGGGGTAGTAGAACAGTTGATAACGCCGCAGGAGAGCTGCAGTAGGGTCATACCACTCAGCAAGAAAGGCGTAGCGATCCGCCTGATAAAGTCAAGTCAACAGAAATAATCACAGTAATACGGAGGCACAAAAAAAAAACATGTTGGGTAGACCTTGGTCCCAGATATTGATGCAAATGATTTTACAATAATCCTAAATGAGAAAAGGAACACACTGATAAAGTGCAAGTCCAAATTATGAAAGTTCAAGCAGATTCTCTGTCCGAGTCAACAGAGTCAACAGCTCCATATTTGTTGCAGTAGACTTGTTGTTGCCCATTAACTACAACTCATGTCTACTTTATATTACTGTTAACTATTTTTCAATGCACGCTTTAGATTTTTGAATGTGTCACGTTGCAGACTGGGGTAGGTAGGTTTCCTCATTTAGCAAGTCTGGGTTCTTACAAACTCAAGGTTAAAGGATTCAGGATTTCTTTTGTTAGCACCGCAGCTTAATTAAAAGCAAAGAAGTGGCATTAAATGACAGTGGCTGACAATTAAGCCTGACTTAGAATTAGGGCTGCAACTAACGATTATTTTCATTGTCGATTAGTCTTAGTCTTCTCAATTAATCGATTAGTTGTTTGGGCTACAAAATGTCAGAAAATGGTGAAAAATGTCCATCAGCGTTTCCCAAAGCCCAAGATGACGTCCTCAAATGTCTTGTTTTGTCCACAACCCAAAGACATTCAGTTCATTAATTCCTGTACGTGTGTTGATTTTCCTTTTGGTGTTTATTTATTTATATATGGACTGTTCAATTCATTCAGTTGTTACTATGCTTTCAGGGTATCGGGGGGTCACAGAGGAGTGAAGAAACCAGAACATTTTCATATTTAGAGAATAGAATTTGGACTTTTCTTAAAAAATACTCAAACTGATTAATCAACGATTAAATTAGTTGGCAAATAATTTAATAGCTGACACTAATAAATGCAAATGAAGTTAATCTGTCAGTTTGTCTTAAATTTAGTGCTAACACCTCTTAGCAACAGGGTTGACTATGACGCTCCAATTTCCTCCCACAGACCTTCCAAAGTGATGCAAGTCAGATGAATGGAGTGTGTGTGTGTGTGTGTGTGTGTGTGTGTCACTGTGAAGGACAACATGTCGAAGGTGTTTCCTTGTCTTCTGCCCATTGTTAACATTAAAAAGCACAGTGTTCCTGACTGAGAAGGCAAAGAAAATAAACAACCTCTCTCTTCCGCTCTCCAAACAAGTAGGTACTTGTATCCTGTGGTTGATGCATGGAGTATTTAGATATAGGTGGACGCAAGAGTCTTATCAAACTAATTATCCATGGGCTGCTATGCCTAGCACACAAACCTTCACAAAACAGTGGAGATATGTTTGATGTTTTATCTCATTTAGCTTACCCACTACCACAGGAAAGTCAATACTCCTGGACATTGAGACCAGTGCCCCAGATTCAGAAGGGCACTAGAGGGCACTTAAGCAGAAGCAGGTGCTTTTTGTCACCACCGCAGCCTACTGTTCTTTTGTGTGTTAAAATTAAACTCACTTTTAATGTTAGTCAACAACTTAGCATTCAGGCCCAGACACATGTTCCGTCAGACTGAAACTCACTGTATTGACCTACCAACCTGTTGCACGGTGTAACTGTTATTGGTATTAACGCTAGAACAAACTGGGCCTACTGACTTAGCATAATATGCCACACAAAACATGGACATTAATGGTACAACTGTTACTCGTCATAGGGATACCAAGCCTATTTCACCGTTAAGTTTATTAACGTCATGTGAAAGTAGAAACTAACACTATTCGCACTGTAACGTTAAACAAACAAGTAAGTTACGTTACTAACGCTAACGGTGCAGCTAGCCAGTGCTCACCTAACGTTACCACCAGTTATTGTTGTTGTAAAGCTGGCTTTAAATTGTCTATTAAGTTACTCAATTTGGCTACTGCAGAATACCAAAGTCCGCCAAACGTTGTTGGTTAAGTTACCCGGTAACGTTAACTTTAACACAATGCTAACGTTAACTGTTATTCTGTGTTTGATTCGTTTAAGCGTTTTAGTTCAGTGGTGCTGGATTTCTAACTAACGAATAGGACGTTCGCATCACTGTTATAGAGAAGGGAAATGTTAACTTACCATTTTAGACAAATTAACATTTAGTCTACAACATATCTCAGTACTGTTTGCAGCTAGCAGACGTTAGCCATCCAGGGCTATGCTTTGTTTCTATAGTAACTGTGGTGACAAGCCAAGGTGCGTTCAAGGTGCATTCACCCAACAATGTACATGTCAGATGTTCAAAGTCAACGAAGTATAACCACTTCAACCTTCACCACTGAAGAAGTGCTCACAAAATTATAGATTTCAAAAGTAAAATTAAATATACAACATAAAATAAAGTAGTCGTGTACGTCAGAGACACCAGGGAATTAGCTACAAGTGAATAATATAAATAGGGTAGGTGAGTGGGGATATATTGATATTGCGCAAAAATTTCAAATTTTCATGATGCTGTTAGCTTTGTTCAAGTGGCAATTTTACATTTCAGGTTAGAAAATCACTGACACATTATTGTGCTGGGCTATGTTTGGTCAGAGACGTTTTTAAGCCCATAAGGACGTTGGCTTGGTTTCTTCTGGCTGTACCTCATTGTGCCATGTGTCATTGTTTGATGTGCCATCTAGTGGTGGCTTGGTAGTATTGCGGAGGTCGGAATCTGCTCAGTTATTAAAATTCTGAGCGTATTTAAATGCAACCTTTTGAACCTTTCGAACCCGGAACAACAACAGTCTGAAAAGTAACACGCATTTCATGTACAGTACTTAAATTTGTGCATTGCAGTAGTTAGGCGTTTGTTTGTTTTTAAAGCAGTCTGTGTTAACAGTTTTATCTCCTTGACTGTGTTTGGAAACAAAAGTGTTGGACATAATTGCACTGCCTCTTAAAGTGTTTCTCCATGGCTTCCTCTGCTCGCATAAGACATTACATGCATGATAACGGACCATTAATTTTGGATGGCGGACTAGCAACTGAACTGGAAGCGCAAGGTGTCAAACTACAGGTGAGACATAAAAAAAAAATCACTGCATTAACTTCAACTTTTTACTTTTTAGGTGGGGTTGCTTTTTTGAAAAACGCTGAAACTACTACCTTAGACTAACTGACCATGATTATTCTTGCATTTTTACAATATGCAAACTTTGACTCTATGGTTACAACATACGTCTCAAGAGCTGTGTATCCATTGTCAGCAGCATTAACTTAAGTAAAGTGAAAGTATTTAAGTATAGTCAGAAATTTTAATCATAAAAGTACCCACTATGCAGCCAAAATGTGCCCAGTCCCTGTTACATTATTATATATAATTACATATTCTTTATTATTTTTATTATTAGGCTGTAACATGTTAGCTTCATTTTATTGTTGTAGCTGGCTGCATTAAAACTAAATTTACTAATTTTAAATAGTGTTGGATGACTTAATTTACTGTAACAATGCATGTACGCCCATTATAGGTTTAAAAAATCTTCATCTGCAAAGTAATTAGTAATAACACATAATTGTAGTGGAGTAAAAGTATTACATACATTTAAATATTCAAATGCATATAAATATTAATTCAAAGATTGGTCCCTTATATAGAGACATAATATGTCTTCGTGTATCAGTTCCATTAGCAGACATCTGAAAAATGTATTGGAAAAACTGGGAAAAGTATTTCTCTATTAGTCAAACACAGATTTTAAAAGCTAGAACTGAAATAGCTATGACTGTGTGTGTCTCACACACCTAGGGAGATCCTTTGTGGAGCGCCAGGCTTTTGCATACTAATCCCCAGGCCATAGGAGATGCCCATTACAGGTAGGTACATGCACAATATTAGAGCTACAGAGATTGGTTTATTAACTGAATGCAAGTATTTAGATAATCGATTGAAAGTTTAAGTATTTTTCTTAACATTCTTTTGTTCCAGTTTCTCAAATGAGCAAATTTGCATGATCTTAGATTGAGAAGTTTGGGGTTTTGGACTATTGGTCAAATACCTGTAGAAAAATAGTTTTTAAAATATGACCACAGTTCATAGATGTGATATATCGACAGGTTTCTCCTCAGTGGAGCTGATGTTATCACAACGGCTACATACCAGGCAAGTATTACAGGATTCATCAATCACCTGGACGTGAGCTCTGAGTGCGCCAGAGAGCTGCTGATGTCTGGAGTTCAAGTGGCCAAAGACACAGTCGAGAGATTTGTCTCTGACAGTCCCCCAACAGGTACAAAACTATATAGTCTTTGATCTTTTAAAGCTGTGAAACACTGTATCTCTGTAAGCTATGATGCTATTTCATTATGTTTTAAATCTTTATCTGTCAAGGGCAAAGATGTCCCTTGGTGGCAGGCTCTGTTGGACCATATGGGGCCTTTCTGCACAACGGCTCCGAGTACACTGGGGCTTATGCAGAGGCGATGAGTATTGAAGTGAGGGACTCTCAGCTGCTCATATACTGGTTACATTAGAAGTAACTGTGCATGCTGTGTGGAGATGACAAATAGAAAATAAAGCTATGATAGCAGAATGTTGACTTACATTTTGACTTATTCAATACTCATGTATTTATTAACATGTTCAGTGTTGGTTATGGTGATGGTGCATCATGTATGTTTGCTTAGATTTTTTATAGATACATTTTCTGTAGAGTTAGGTGATAACCAAGGGTCTCAGGAGTCTTTTCTTAATTTTTTTTCTCTTCCAAGGAGCTGAAAGTTTGGCATCGGCCGCAGGTCAACTGTTTAGTCGCAGGAGGAGCCGATTTAATTGCTTTTGAGACGATCCCAAGTATCAAAGAGGCGGAGGCTCTGGTTGAGCTGCTCAGAGAGTTCCCAAACTCTAAAGCCTGGCTCTCCTTCTCTTGTAAGGTAACCATTGCTGATAAACCGTATAACCACTGTTGGTTCGTTGTTAACTGTTGTGCAGTGTTTGAAAATGACGTTTTGGTCCAAAAACACTGTCAGGATGGGAAGTGTATATCAGATGGCAGCCCGTTCACGGATGCGGTGCAGATTGCGACTAGATCCACGCAGCTGGTTGCTGTAGGAGTCAACTGCTGCTCACCAGAGGTGGTGGAGCCGCTGCTGGACTCTGCCAGGTCTCTGCTGAGCCCAGACATGACCTGGGTAGTCTACCCCAACAGTGGGGAGGACTGGGACACTGAGCAAGGGTGAGTCTGTAGTCACGTAGTTGTAATAATAAGATCACAGCTTCAACTGTCGCTGTGTTTTCAGTGTGACGTGTCAAACTCTCCTTTTAACAAAACACTGGAAATCTTTTGCTCACCGTGCAAAGGTTCTCAGTCATCCAGGTCATAGTTTTCCAAGTAGGGTTAAAATTTAACCTGGATAACCTGATTCTATTTAACAATACCGTCTCTTGTTTAGAGGTGTAGTTAATCTTTCTTTATCTTCTATATGTTGGTGGTAAAGTGTAACTACAGTACATTCTATAATGGTAAAAAGCAAAACTTCACTGAATACAACATTTAGTTGTTTGTGGCCAGATGGTGAGTTTTTAGATGGAAGTATCATTTACAATAACCAGATTTAAAATAATGTGAAATGTACACATGAACCAAATTATGAGAAAATTGGGCCCCAGAAAGGTGCCTGCTTCCTCTACCACCATAGCAGCCCATCTCCCCTGTGTCAGTCATCTGGCTTTTTTAATATCAGTTTTTGGATGAAAATCAATTCATATGATGCATTTTTAAGGATTAAATTGCCCACAGTATGTAGTACAGATCAGTCCCACCTACACAATTAAAAATGCTTACAAGAGCAAGCAATATGAAGATTATATGAATAATAATACAATAATATTACATTATATAATAGCATAACACTCTGAAAGGAGCACATCCTGCATAATGAGTACCTTTACCTTTCATACTTTACTCTTTTGTAACTTTGTGGTATTGCTACTTTTGCTGAAGTTAAGGATGTGAGTACTTCTTCCTGACTGTTCCATGTTTTATTTTTCCATACAAAAGTTGGCTAACATCAGCGAAAGCACCAGCAGCAGTACCTGAACTAAGTCGCACATGGATGAGGCAAGGTGCGGCTTTAATAGGTAAGGTGAACTGTTTTCTCTCGCTGCCATTTTTGTCCTGCTTTTCTGCATTTTCTCTGACGAGTTGTGTCTTTGCCCTTTAGGAGGATGCTGCCGCATCGGTCCCGCTCACATAGCGGAGTTACGGCGACAGTTAAAAGGAAGTTGCACGTCTCCAGCCTCTGCAGTGTGACTGGACAGAAAATGTGATGGTGTTTGTTGCGATGAATAATGTCTGTTTAACGAGGTTATAAAAAACTTAATTTATTGGAAAAATGAATAAATAAACCACTACATCAAATGACACAATGACATCTGTGTTGGGTCAGAAACAAATGGCACCACAAGAGGTGCAAACAGAATCGTGGCTGTACAGAAACATGAAAGTAACCCATGCAGGCTTCACTTTCTGTGGTTTCACATTTTGAATGGTTTGAGGGTTTCCACAATCACGTCTGTACAGCTCCCGTCTCTTAAAAATTGGGATCAACTACACGACAGACTTCCTGTACGTTTCACAAAGCACAACAAAATGTCAGCTGCTTTCACAACACTTGGACAGCATTTCCACTGAACTAACAACTGTACACCAGGTGCAAAACAAGCCCACTTTACCTGTACAATGAATTATGGAAGTGTGTTTATCTTCGAACAGAATTTAAGCAAATGTGTCGATGTCACGTTTCCTAGACGGCATTAGTTGAATGTAATGTGCACTCTTCCTGTACCACTGCAGTGAGTTTAAGATGATGCGATATAACCATAATTAAATTAAGATGTGCGTGTGATTAGTAGTAGGACGACAGAAAATAATCCTGTAGTGTGTAGCCTAATGCCCTATTTTAGTATAAAACAGGGATGGACAAAATAACAGAAACGCCTTACAATACAGTCGCCGTGAAGTTAATACCCAACAAAGCTTGTGTTGCAAGTTTTTTAAGAAAGAAGTTCATTTTTGAGGCCGTAGTTCGATGTGCTGTTAAGAAAATGCCCTGTCCCCTCTTCATATTTGTCAGTGTTACTTTTTTGTGTTTTCCATATGTCACCCTGATTTTTAAGACTTTCCCTTGTTTGCAACTGATGCAATGTGTGGAAAACATAAAAACAGTTAGCGTAAGACCTCTAGTGATGGACTGCTAAATGGTGATTTACTGTGGCTCACTCGTTTAGCTGCCGTTATTGTTATCGATTTAAAGTAGTTGTTGGTGTATCATTCGCAGATGCTGCTGAAGGACAGAAAAGCGGCAAAAGGTTTCAGATTTTCAGGTTACTTGATTTAAAGCACTAAAAACTACAATATGGCCCGCAAAATGACGGTTGAGTTGAATCTACATCTGATAGTCTTAAAAAACATTCATTCATTCATTCACCAATACGAAAGTATCAAGTCTATATTCTGTGATATTCTATTTTTTTCTAACGGTCAACATAGCCCATGAAAAGACCACAACCAACAATGAATTATAATTTTATTTTCAGTTAATCCGACATACGTCCTGCTGCCCTAAATACTCATTGGTGCACCAAATGTGTATTAATCCGCCACTGAAAATAGTCCCTGACAAATGCACTATTTCCTCTGGTATTCGTAACATTTGCTAAAAACTACAGTGTCCAGCTATTTTTGGGGCTATAAGTGATTTTTTTTTATTACAATGTATTTCATGATCATAAAAACACTGACAATGTGGAAGGGGGTTGCTTATAGTGATGAACCTACAGAGAATTATCCTGCAAATCTGTAGCACCTCTTGGCGTTATGGAGCTTTATAGTAGCTCTGGCTGCAACTTTAGTGTTTTGGTACTACCTGCTCCGCACCAAATGCCAGACAGTCACAGTTAGCGACTAGTTGAGCATTTAGCAGCTAAAGAGCCAGATATTTCCCTGAGGAGTTGGTAGAGACCAAAACCAGAGCTAAAAAGAGTGAATTAAGTGAATATTACACTCCAAATGGATGCCAATGCAACTGTTTGCTATCAAGTTCACCATATCAACTTTAAATGTCATAACATGTTTCTGTTGTCCCCGAGTGGACAAACAAATCAGTTATTGCATGTTTAAAAATTAAACTATGTGTTTAATGATTTACATCTTCAGTGGTTAGGATGGGGTTAGAAAGTCAGAGAGTACTGAGAGACAGTCCAACACATTGTTGGTTTTGGTTGTTTCATGGGCTTTGTTGACAGTAAAATATAGAACACCAGATATTATATTTAAAATGTATCCTATGGCTACTGTACTGTATTATAATGTTTGTTATTTAACCCCCCTGTATGTCCCAATAAACCTTTTCAGTCTGTAATGTCTTCATCAAGATCGCTGTCAGGGGAGCTCCTCTGTCTGTACTCTGTAGAGTTGGACAGGCGTTTCCAGCTGGTGTCTTTCTGACTTCCCATACTGTGTGAGCGTCCCAGGTAGGCCAGGCGCTTGGATGACGTTCTCTCCTCAGTTTCTTCGGCGACGCTTCCATGGCCCCGCTCTGTGCCGGAGTGGTGGAAGTCGTGGCGCAGGTTCTCCAAATTTAGAGCCCAGGGGCCGAGCTTCTGCCAGTTCACCCTCTGGAAGGCCATGATGCAGTGCAGGTTGCCACCCACCTGAGAGCCAGGGAACATTTGTCTTAGATCCAGAAATGTTAACATGATGAGCAACATTTACTTGACCAGGCGTGACATGGGGAACCTTTTTGGTTTTGCGGCGCTGAATCCCCCTCTCTGTGTGACGAATGTCCAGGTATTCTGGATTTTGTGTGTTGAGGTCAGTCACAATATCCAGCCATCTGAAAAATATAAGCTTGATGTTAAACAGCTCAACTACAGTACATGATAAAATATTGCTGAACAGAGGCAGAACTTAACTTTTTACAGTGAATAGCTGGGTGTTTCCTACTGGGTTCACCAATAAGGATCCAGTACTCCATTTCATTTGTAGGTAGAGGACCCCTTTGCACAAAAAAAGAACATTTTATGAACTCTTAAGGGCTGACACACACACACACACAGACACACACACACACACACAGTTGATCAATGGATACGTCAGTCAGCATTCAAATAATTCAAGTCAATTGTCAAAATTCTTTTTACATGAGTTCAAAACTCTTTGGATTTTAAACTCCTAGTGGGCCAAAACAAGACACCATTTCTGACACAACAACCAATCGATTAAAAAAAAAAAATCATCAGATTAATCAATAATGAAAATAATCAACTGACGTGACCAACCTATAAGCCTTTGCTGCTTTGAGCGGCGTGGCTTCAAAGCCCACCGGGCAGAAGTAGTGGTTCTGGCAGTGGTAAATGTAGGCCATAGACTCATCCTTCAACCCCTGTGTCAGTTTCATCAATGCTCCTTCAGCTAAAAAGATTTGGGTGGTTATCACTTTTGTTTTTATCTCTTTATGAGTAGGCGTGCAGATGAGTCAGACAGCCGAGGGGCTAACCTGTTTCTCCTGCTGTCTTGTGTTTTCCATGCGGTTTGTACAGAATGTAGGAGCAGCCTCGCACGCGGAAATTGTCGTTGATTTGTCTGAACCACCTGTAAGAAAAACACACCGATTACAGAGCTCCAATAGATGTCCAAATATAAGGTGCTTATTTAAAATGACAGCACGAGCAGTTTTGCGTACCGCATGAGAGTAGCATTGCCAGTGAAAGGGCCGAACTTGATTTCTTCAAAAGGCGGCTGAAAACCCAGAATATGCAGAGCCTCCTCCTGAGAGATGGGTGGAAGACTAGCAATGCAAATAAATATACACTTATAATTATTATGTTATTACTTATATTTATTAAGAAATCTAAATGTGTCTCAGGAGCTGTTTACATGAAGTCTGATAGACAACATTACGTGCTGCTCACCTCCCTGCGCCCAGAGTGCTGTACAAGAAATTCCAGCAGGACACCAATGAAGAGATTCCACATGACGTCTTGTACTGTGGCCGACTGACGCAGTACCTGAAGCAGGAAACAACCAGAATATACAAATCCGCAGAATAAATTCTATTACATTGAAAACATATTGGAACTTACAGCCCCACAGGGAAGCTCACTTCACTATGCTTCTCTTTAAAACTACTGAGGCTCTAAATATAACACTACCATCTTCTGAGGTCTAGCACTTTTCTCTGTTTGATCTCCTCCAGTGAGGCGTGAGGAAGGACATCTTGTAGATTTCGGCTGGGTCTGTCTGATGACTTCATCTTCTTTGTGCTGCTTTTCTTCACATTGCCTGAAATACAGCATCCGTGTTACAGGCTAAACCGGGTGGTCCACCAATTAAAGATGAGATAAATTACATAATGGTTTGTGGTATTTAAAACAGGAATGGCAGCTTCGGGTGAGGGGAAACAGCCAGTTTAACTTTCTGTGTATACATTTATTTAACATGCTTCTTACTTGTTCTTATTTTTCTAGTGAGCACAGCATTGAAGTCTGTGGTATCAATCTCCCAGGCCAAAATTGGCTTTGAGTGGCCAGAGGATACTTCCACCATGTCACAGTCCCCATCTGATCCTACATGGGCCCCTTCCGGCTGGCCCGCACTGAAGTCAGATGAGAGTTTGGGTTTCAAAAGTGATGGCCCATCATCCTGCTTGTTTGGGGCCACGTCCCTGGCTGAGTTTGGGGGACAGTACACAGAAGCAGCCTGGTTGAGAAGAGCATAGTCGGAGCAGACTGTGTAGAACTTCTCACGGGAGTGTGTGACCGGGCAGGTCCACTGCAGGTGGAGCTCGGCACTGGAAGCCCTCCTTACTCTCGCAGCGTCCCGGGCGAGGGAGCTGATCAGGCCGTGATCCTCCTCCCCATCGGTGGGCCTTTGCAGCCCTGACGGCTCTGCTGGCCCAGGTAGGTTTGCTCCTTGACCTTCTGATGTATTAGGCATTGAACAGCCACTTAAATGATGGATGACAGAATTAGCTGAGGCTGCTGAAGTAATGGCTGTCTTTTCTGGGGATGAAAGGGCAGGCATTTTAGAGACACTACAGAGATATTAAAAGGAAGATGGAGGTGCAGTGATAAGAGACTCAACACGGTGGACTCAGGGAACATCTGACCACATAAACAATCTTTGTACAACAAGTCATAACCCTGAACTACTGTTGTAACCTACAGCAACATTAGACAGCATCACACATTACCTTTAACCCACAATTAGTCACCCATTATGTAAATAGCCTACAGTGGCTCTTATTGCCTGCCTGTATTTAGCTGCAAGGTTACTGAACATTAACTAACATTACACCTGTAAAGCCGCTGTAGGCGAGATGAACACACAGCTAAAGATATCAGTGCCTTTTATTGGAGTTAGCAGATGTAAACACGCCCAGCTGTTACGTTATTATTATTATTTTTTAAATCATACCTTGTGCAATGTCTTAGGACCAAACGGGGCTGGGAACTGTCAAAACGCCAAGCTAACCACATATCACTGGACCTAGGTACACATTAGCTTGGGGCATGTTAAAGATGAAGGATAATATATCCGAGACGTCGTCCTCCAGACCCGAAGCCTCTTCCTGTGCAGGTTTAACGGACTGAACCATTCAGAGCGGGAACCGGCGTGTCCAAAAACAATTAAAGCTGAATAATAACATAAAGACACCAGAGAAAATAACTAGGTGCAATACAAAACACATTTTACGTTTAGAAAGTCGTATTTTAATGTTTTATATGAAAATTGCCTTAAATATACATGCCGCTGTCTGAGCGCGTTCAACCCGCCTGAGTAAACCATGGACTGATCCTACAGTTCAAACCAATCACGGGAGCCGACTGCTGTGGCTCTTTAAACCTGACTTCACAGACACAAGGTAAGTCTGGTAATCTGAGTGTACTTTACTCATTTAAAAGCTAAAACAACAAGTGCACAATGTTCTGACAACTTTAAAATAAATAAAAAAACAAATACTAAAATATCGACTTGTTACCACAGCAACGTTTAACCACAAAATGATCGAGTTACATAACTCTTGCAACTTTGTAGTCCTTAACATTGGAAACAGAAATTGTGTTTCGTTCTTCGTCTGTGTGCCCTAAATAGTTTAACTATAAAGTTTTCGACAGAACAGTGATTCCACATCAACCTGTGATCAGACAGACAGGTTGTATTGGATTAAATTCAGGTTTTATCTGTAAATTGGGTATTTCAACGCAGATCATGAGATATCTGATCCTTAAGATTTGCTGCATTTGGGTATTTACATTTTGGACCATTTGAGAGGTGGATTTTGACATATATGGACAGCCTAGGCTTCATATCTTCCAGATATTGTTAAGATCCTGATTAAACTAAACTAAAAGACAATTATGAAAGTGTGTATGCGAGTGGCAAAGGGGAAAAGCAAGGTGAGCGTTAAAGCAATTTGTGAGTAAACACTAAAATAAGTAGAATTAAAATGATAAGATAAGAAATAACCTACCTTGAAATAGGGTATCTCTAAGAATAGGGTCAAATATTTTAAAATAGTGTAGCCTGTCCCCACCACAGGTCTGTAGCAGACACTGAGCCGTGTTATACTGCAATTTATCTTCAGTTGGGTTTTAAAAGTTATTTAGTTTATTATTTAATAATAATAATTTATAAAAAATAATTTCATTGTGAACATACAATTGAATGCTCCCTGGGCAGAATAGCCAGTGTTGATTCTAATGTATTAAAACAACAAATCAGAGAATGGAAATACCTCAGTTATTACAAGATCCACAAATAAAAACTGGATTCACAAAACTAAATGTTGGGAAGATGCTTTTCATTCACTTGAATAATGAATTTCATGTATTCACAGATATTTTTGTACTTGTGGAATTTGTCTGTGTATTTGCAGATCTATTCCATATTTGCAAAATATCTTTCTGTATTTGTGGAAGGTGTTCTGCAGCAGTGGTTCTCAAACATTTTCACATCAAGGACCCCTAGACCGACACAAATTAGACCCATGACAAAATTCTGTCATTGTGTTACTGATTGATGGAATTATAGTAAAAGCAAATCATTCCCCTTTTTGCCCAGGACCGCCTGGAACCCTCTCAAGGACCCCTGGGACCCCACTCTGAGAACCACTGTTTTACAGAATACACATTTACAAAGGGATTGTCAATCTGTTCACACGAATAATTGACAAATCGATCTGCATCCATTGGTTCTTATTCTTCTTAGCTGTGTGTGTGAGTGAAATGGTTTTGCCAGCAGAATTCACTAGCTTGTTTATTCTCTGCAGTGCTCATTTGGGCTTTCTGTGGTCTTTCTGTGGTGTTGATGGCCATCAGGCATTACCTTACCAACATGTTTTGCTTCATGTTGCATTATGACAATTATCTTCTGTGCATTTAAACTATGATAAAAGGGGGATTGTTTGGGAGCAAAAGCTCTAAAACATGTTGCAAGTACAACACTGTGCATGGTGTCACAAATAAATCAGAAAGCAGGCTGTACAAATCAGGTGACCAAGCAATGTGACGACACACACAGCTTGTACAGTACAGGCTGATCCACACAAGGCCTGATTCCACATTGGTGAAGCAAGTAATGATGCATTGCTCTTTTTCTAGAAGGCTTGAATAATACAAATCATTCGATTTGTGCCTTTGATCCATATAAAGGCAACATTGTAGAACTTTAAGAACACATAAAACCTGGTCACCGGCAAGCTCCCAGCATTCAGACAAAAAATGTAACGAGACAAGACACAAACACAAACGCACCTGAGTGTCCATTAATGTTTTCAGGATGAAGAAAAGTACCCGCGAAGAACTCCGGGTAGCTCCTAAAGCCAGTAAACCCTTGGCTGAAATCTACTGTAACCAACCTCTCGAAGGGAAATAAGACTAAAACTAGTAAGTCTAATGCCAGGAGCTCGATGTGATTGAGTATCCACAGCCCCAGAGAGAGAAGCAAGTGTTCCTTCATTTGAAAAGGCAAAAGCACAGCCCCTGCCACAGAGGAACAACAGGCAGCCAGTGGGGGAAAAAGTACAAAAAAGGCAGGAACAAGACAGAAAACAAACATCATCCAGATAGACTGTTCCTGGAATACAGAAAGTTACTGCCTTCCATGAGCAGAACAAGTCTGATTTTTCTGCAGACTTGAACTGTAAAATGGAGCGAGGAAACACAGGTAGGCAGTGGAAAAAATGGGGAAATAGGCAAACAGGCAGCAACACACACAAAATAACTCAGTTACAGTTACTATTTTTTAAATGAGTGTTCAAAGTTCCACCATGCTGATAATCTTTTTTGTTACAATATTTTAAACATACTGTGTTTTTTTTTTACACATTAGGGGCAGGGTTAACAGTGACTTTACTTTGATACATGATAACATGATGGTCACTGCAGATACTTTGCGCACCGTATTAATCTAGTTGTCTGAAATTCAGACCAAACAGTCTTTGAAAGACCTTACGGATAATTCGGATTGTGATTTTGGGAATGTGAATTTTACAGAAGACCATGGCAAAGAAGCAGGTGATCATCGACACCGACTGCGGCATAGACGATGCTCAGGCGATATTAATGGCCTTGGCCGCACCCAACATTCAGGTCGTGGGCGTGACCTGTGTGTTTGGGAACGCAGCAGTTGAGAACGTGTGTCAGAATGTTCTGAGGGTGCTCTCTGTCTGTGAGCGTGAAGGGGTAAGCTTACTAAACCTTTTATTATTATATACCTGAACAGATATGGTCTGATTCTTGTGTTGAAGTAGATTTAGTGAGATTGGCTTTTCAACACGTTCTTCAACCTAAATTATAAAATAGCACGTCATTTCCTTGTCAGAGGAGCCATGTGAGTGATCTATCTGTCAACAAGCCCTGCTCAAAACTGCACTCAGCAGAACATTTGTCTGCAGATTCCAGTGTTTCGAGGTTCTGGTGGTCCTCTGGTTGGAGCCAGTAACCTACTTAGTGACCACTTTGGAGGTGATGGACTTGGGGGTGTGATTGAAGACAAAGACCCACATTGGGAGGAGAAAATCCAGAGCGAGCACGCGGTCAATGCAATGATTAGGCTGGTGACTGAAAACCAGAAGCAGGTGAGAAACCTCCCTGTGGCCTGTCTGTCATGTGTGGCTGCTCTCCACTAAAATGTGCATCCCACAGGTATCCTTGGTGGCCCTTGGCCCGCTCACTAATCTGGCATTGGCTGTCAGACTAGATCCATGTTTTCCCCAAAAGCTCAAAGATCTGTACATTATGGGGGGCAACAAGGAAGGTAATTCCTCCACATGCTTACAGTGTTTGTTTTTTAAAAAAAGGCTTGTACAATTTGTTTTTTGTTTTTGTAGGAATAGGAAATGTGACCCTATGTGCAGAGTTTAACCTTGCAATGGATCCGGAGTCTGCCTATGTTGTTCTGGAGGAGTTCCTCTGCCCTACATACCTGGCATCGTGGGAATATTGCTGCAGAAACTCACTGCCCTGGGTAAGAAGTGTGGTTATGATGAGCTATATAGAGATTTATTTCAGTAATTCCATTCAAGAAGTGAAACTTGTATAATGTATACATTCATTACACACAGACTGATATTTCAAATGTTTATTTCATTTAATTGTGATGATTAAAAACTGACAACTAATGAAAATCCCAAATTCAGTATCTCTGAAAATTAGAATATTACTTAAGACCAATCCAAAAATAGAAATGCTGGCCAACTGAAAAGTATGAATATGAAAAGTATGAGCATGTACAGCACTCAATACGTAGTTTTGCCTGAATTACTGCAGCAATGCTGCGTGGCATGGAGTCGATCAGTCTGTGGCACTGCTCAGGTGTCATGAGAGCCCAGGTTGCTCTGATAGTGGCCTTCAGCTCTTCTGCATTGTTGGGTCTGGCGTATCGCATCTTCCTCTTCACAATACCCCATAGATTTTCTACAGGGTTAAGGTCAGGCCAGTTTGCTGGCCAGTTAAGAACAGAGATACCATGGTCCTTAAACCAGGTACTGGTAGCTTTGGCTCTGTGTGCAGGTGCCAAGTCCTGTTGGAAAATGAAATCTGCATCTCCATAAAGATGGTCAGCAGCGGAAGCATGAAGTGCTCTAAAACTTCCTGGTAGACGGCTGCGTTGACCTTGGAGCTCAGAAAACACAGTGGACCAACACCAGCAGATGACATGGCACCCCAAACCATCACTGACTGTGGAAACTTTACACTGGACTTCAAGCAACGTGGATTCTGTGCCTCTCCTCTCTTCCTCCAGACTCTGGGACCTTGATTTCCAAAGGAAATGCAAAATTTACTTTCATCAGAGAACATAACTTTGGACCACTCAGCAGCAGTCCAGTCCTTTTTGTCTTTAGCCCAGACAAGACGCTTCTGACGCTGTCTTTTGTTTCACAATCCTCTCCAGGGTGGGGTTATCGCTATTGCTTGTACACTTTTTTTCTACCACATCTTTTCCTTCCCTTCGCCTCTCTATTAATGTGCTTGGACACAGAGCTCTGTGAACAGCCAGCCTCTTTAGCAATGACCTTTTGTGTCTGGCCCTCCTTGTGCAACGTGTCATGGTCGTCTTTTGGACAGCTGTCAAGTCAGCAGTCTTCCCCATGATTGTGTAGCCTACAGAACTAGACTGAGAGACCATTTAAAGGCCTTTGCAGGTGTTTTGAGTTAATTAGCTGATTAGAGTGTGGCACCAGGTGTCTTCAATATTGAACCTTTTCACAATATTCTAATTTTCTGAGATACTGATTTTGGGATTTTCATTAGTTGTCAGTTATCATCATCAAAATTAAAAGGAATGAACACTTGAAATATATCAGTCTATGTGGAATGAATGTATACATTATACAAGTTTCACTTTCTGAATGGAATTACTGAAATAAATCAACTTTTTGATGATATTCTAATTATATGACCAGCACCTGTAGCCCCGCTATATTTGATGTTCAACATCAAACTGATTTCACTGATTTAACTTCTACAGGAGTTCTTTGAAGAGTTGATCAACCAGGATGCACCTGCTGCAGGCTTCATGAAGATGATAACATCTAAATGCTGGGCTTACTCCAAAGAGGCTATGATGAAAAAGAGAGGTGTGTACTTTGGATCTGGCTTCGTCTCTTACGACGCTTATGCGATGGCAGCCTGTATTGACAACAGCGTGGTAACAGAGAGAATCGAGTGTCCTGTCCGCGTGGAGTTGCAGGGTTCGATCTCCCGTGGCATGCTGGCACTAGATCGCACAAACGAGCTGAAGAAGAGCCACAGCGTGTTTGTTTTGACTAAATGTGATGTTGCCAAGTTTGGTCAGTTACTCATGGAGTCTGTTAGACAACCTTGTAAGAAATAATCTTTTTTTTCTGCTGCGGCCTGACTCTTGGACAGAGCCACTTGACGACAATGTAGCCAACGTTTTCCAGCTTCACATCTACTGCAGATTGTTAAATTCTCATCAGTTTGTCGGAACCAGCTGCAAGGGAGAGGTTTTGCGCGCTGAATTAGAGGAGCATTGCCAGTGAAATGTGGAATATTTTAAATGCCTAAATTAAAGAAGAAATACAATTCGCATTGCATTTTCTCTTTAATAAGTAATTGAATTGTTTTCCAGTGCAACATGAATGTTCCATGTCACATTAAAATCAAATCACAAAACCAGAAAACCAAGAGAAAAGGTGTGTGTCATTTCAGTGTAGTCCAGCAGAGGGCAGCATAGACCTGCTAATATTAAATGCAAAGCATTGTCTTTAGTTCTCATGAGGAGATGCAGGGGAGCTTTTAATTTTGCGAGAGTGAAACATATCAAAAAGAAAATAACATCAACTGCAGGTGGTCACGTGGGTGGTCATCGCGGACAGGGTCTGATGTGAACCGTGACAGACACCCTTTTGCATTAAAACACCTTCCTGTGGGCTAGCCAGCTGGAGAGAAACTACTGTTGACTGTACATTCAGTCACAGTGGGGATTAACTGTCTGCAGTCTCAGTTCCTGTTCTCATCTGAGACACCACGATGGTGGTACGAGCTACCAGATGCCATCAGAGCAGGGCCGTCCCTCTCTAACTTCAAGAAGCTCTTAAAAACTCATCTCTTCTGTGAACACTTCCTCTTATTACACCTCTCACATGCACTTCCTGTGATCCTTTTTTCATCTCCATACAATTATCTCATGTTGATTGCACTATTTGATTAACTTTTACTTTCTCCCCTAGGCATTTATCCCGTAATAGTTACTATTTATTGCTGCTCTTACTAGTAGCCTGTCTATTGTTACTTGTAGATCACTTACTGTATTTATGCTTTTATGTTGTTCTTCAAATGGAAGTTGCCTTGGATAAAAGCATCTGACAAATGAGTAAATGTAAACACAAATGTAATTATTGTTTTATTAAATTAATTTCTTTGACTCAGTCAAAGTTTAGGTTCAGCTTTTCATTAAAATTGTACATCTGAATTACAACATTGAAAAAAATGTCTTTAAACAGATGTTGTATTGTTGATGTAGGAATAGACATTTTTCACAGTATTTAATAGAGATCAACCAGGCCTATATATCGTCCACTATCAGTTTATTGCAGATATATCGCTATCTTTGCAGGCATACGTCTGCCCATAAGTAACAAGAAAGTGCTGTAAAGACACAAACAAACAAATTGACTAACTAACTAACTAAACGGTCCATATAAAGATGTTTGTTAAGTTTTAATTTTTAAGAGAAATTACAAATTTCTTTTTAAATTCAAACTCCCAAATATCATTATCATCAGCCTCAAAAATCTATCAGTGGAGCAATAGCAATCAATAACTTTATTAGAGCCCTTTCCCCTTCCTGTTAGGTGTTTCAGCATCAAGACCCTGATATTGTGCACGTTGTCTTACCGGCTTTCTGAATCCCCCAACTCCAACAGTCATCTGTAATGTTACGAAGCTAAGCAGCATACAAGACTAATAGAGATTTGTACCTTGTACATAGAGCCCTGGACCCCTCTCAGCCACAAAATAGACCTCTTCTGCCTGCGCAGGTGATTCTAAACCAGACCTTTCCTCAAGCTGTGGATCTCCACTGTAAATCTCACTGACTGAATTTGCTAATATGTGGGGCAGCAGCAGGCCCCCAGGGTTTTGTGCCAGCTTCACCCAGGATGTCCGGTGCTTAAACGACCCATAGACAGACCCCCAAATCTGGAGCAATGAGCACAATACTGGTGCAATATTAGTACTTGCGGAGTGTGGTTGAGGCGCAGTCCCTGTTTCAACAAATACAACCAAAAGGGTGGGGAATTATTTTAGAGGAGCAATTTTGCCACACAGGGTTTACAGAGTTTGATTTTGAACATGTGATGAAGATAACAGAGGAGTAGATGCAGAAAAATGAAATCACAAGCTGGGACCACAAGGAGAAGATACCTAGTTTGTTAAGAGCAAAAAGTGTGAGAAATGATAATGATATATCATCACAACTTGTTTCTGCTGGTCTGTATGTTCAAATGGAAGACCATGAAAAACACACTGCTTTGCTGAAGTCCTTTATTTAAATTTGCTGACAAATAGAGGCAATGTATAATACCAACCTCAAATGTAAGTGTTCTTTGGATCACTTGACCAATTTATCCTCACGGAAGGCTTTGATATTTTTAGGGCAGAGTCCACTTTAAAATGGGGAACATGGACGTCCATGAAGCTTTGTGGGCTGTTTGGGTTCTGAAGAATGAAAGATCCCTGCTGCCAAATAAAAAAAGTCTAGTGCAATGACTTAAATTCAAATGTATGCAAATTTGACTTTTCAAACCAACTTTTAAAAGAAACCAATAAGAACAAAATTATTGTAAAAACACATGGCTATATTGTAAGAACATTAATACTGAATTTTAGAGATTCTGCGTCATGTACCAAACTGTCAGAAGGAATGCAGCATTGCCAGCATTTCTGCAAGAGCAAAATGTCTGCACGGCATTAGCATACCATGCAATCAACACTTTTAATTTAGGGGCACATGTTAAAACAAATTCCAAATAAAACGTTGCATTGCCCCCCCCTTCCCCCCAATGAATAAAAAGCTGCAGAGAACTATATTGCGGAGTTGGTAAGCAAATGGGCTACCCAATGCATTACACTTGAGGTAACCTTGCTTTGTGTTGGGATTATTAAAGAAACTGATTTAACGTACAGACTACATCAAATCCGTGACGTGCTTCTGGTAAGTGCAATCATGTGCCTTTTAACTGCCGTTGTCAGGAGAGCTAGGCCAGGGCTCAGAGCTGCGTCTGCTCAGGGTGGGGCGCCACATGCTCCACGGGTTGTAGGTCCGACTCATCTCGGTAGAAGCTGGCGGCGACGGGGTGGGACTGTTGACCAGATCCGTCAGAGTGGTTGAGTTGGTTGTTGGAGGAAAAGGGTGCAAGGCTGAATCTGCGCTTGTTGACCAAATGGAGCTGCCGAAGGGGGTGGGAGCAGACCAGGGGTTGCGGGTGTTTCCCAGGAGTGACTAAAAAAGGTGAAGAGAAGCCTCATAATAGTATCATGAGCAGGAAGAGTATCTCGGAGCTACATTGAACACAAATAAGGGACCTTACTGCAGTTGGGGCAGTCGGTGAGCTGGAGCTGCTGGGCCAGGAGTCGCCGCTTGGTATGTCCCAGATGGAGGAGGGTACAGTGGGGAACTCAGGCCAGCTTTGCTGAGGCTCTGATGACTTTTGGAGATTCATTCCACTGAAAACTAACACACACACACACACTTTGAATTAAACAGCTACAGTTTCTCTAAATTCTTCTGTTGGTTCATAAATTTGTGAGCCAGACAGGTTACCTCCGGTCAGGTTGAAGGAATTATTGGGTCCAAAAGCAGAGAATGAGTTGGCAGAGTGGAAGTTTGAAGTACTGGCTGTCTCAATGGGACTCCATAATCCAGAACTATATAAAAAAAATATTAAAATATTAAAATTGGGATTGTCTCTTGATGTCACGTTTGGATGTGCATTTTGTCTCACATTACCTGTCAGAGCTGTCACTTTCCACTGAAGTCATGGCTGCTAGAATCTTCCCTTGGCTGTCAGCTTTACCTGGGCCAGAGCCACCTGACCACAACAAAAAACATCAGTTTTCTCTCGTAAACAATCCACCATAAGAACAACGTACGCACTTTAAATCAAGTGTTAGTTTATTGTTATACCTGGGCTTTTATCATAACCAGCAGCTACAGCAGCAAAGGTGGGGTTCCCATTTTTGCCCGGGAGTGGAGTGGCTGTTGACAGCTTATTTCCTGGGGCCTTCTTTTGGTTTACCTCACTGCAAAAATGTTAGAAAAATCACAAAGAATCTTGATTAGTTTTTGGTAAAATTAACAAAGCACAGTATACCAAAATAGCATGCTTTATTATAATAAGAAATACAATAATTTATTTATAAAAAGACTTTCAGAGAGTTACAAGGTGCTTTATCTGGGAATGTCAAGATAAAACAATTCAGAACCATGACATCAAAACATACCAGACCTAGGGTTATTTGCACACAGCGAGCGAAGACTTTTTCAGAGTGACGATAGACTTTTGAGGACTTAATACAATAATTTTTTGGGACACCCAGCAGTCGATTTCTGGAAGACTTCTGGAAGCCGTCTTTAACGGGACATGTCATCCGCATTACTATGGTGTTGAATGTTGTGTTTGAGAAAATTGTGACCTAGTGAAAGCTTGTAAATAAAGAACAAAAGGCGGCCAAGGATGGAGTCTTGGGGTACTCCACATGTTAGAGGGGCCACCGAAAAAGAGGAAACCTGTTTTAATTGTTTTAATGTATTATAAATATTCATTAAAGATGTTCTGAGGATACCACTATTTCTAAAAATGTCACTAAAAATGATCATTTGGAGACGGGTCAAAATCACCAGCCATGATGCTGGTGAAATAGGAGGATCCGACATCTTTGACAGTATTTTGGTAAGTGGACATTTGTTCCTTCAGAATTTCAAACAAGATGAGCAAAAATGTGTTCATTTTATTAGCAAAGTTCCTCCACATTTGACCAAGTTTATACCTGTTACTGTTGAGTACACTGCTGTAGGAGACTCGGGACGGTAAGCTGGGGGAGGTCGGTGGAGGGGAGCAGGTGCCGGCTGAGACGGATCTCTTCAGGAAAGGGTCTGCGTTTATTGTCTGGAGGGAGATCTGCTGAAGACTATCTGCTTCTGCATGTGGAGAACAGGAGCCAGTCAGATCTTTACGAGGCTGATCAGTGAGTATTGGAAGTAGGAGAGACACTGGACATGGCAGATTGGTTTTCAGATGTCGACTTACGGACACCGTTTGCGGGAAGTGGTACATCCCACTCTGGAGACGCAAACTCCTTCTCCCCCTCAGAGCTGCTGCTGTGCCCCAGCTCTGGCACTGACCCGCTGGACAACAATTTGGTAAACAGAGAGGGGCGACCGTCTTCCGGCTTCCCGTCGACTGCCAATACAAACATGTTACAAACACATCTGGTACTGAAGCAAAGGGCAAAGTGAAAACATTTAAGAAACTCACATCTCTGTTTCTGCACAGGTCTCGTCTTCGGGATGTTGGGGAGAGGGTAGAGCGCTTTGGATGTGAAGCTCTTGCGTTGTTTGTTCTCCAGTGGTGTTACATATGGCAGCTCCAGAGAACTGAGAACATTAACCATTTATCAA